CATGTATGTACAGCTAGGGCCATTTCCACGTTATTCGAAATATTTCCACATTCCCACACTATACCCCTTCCAAAGCTTTCCCATTTCCCTGTACCCAAGGCTTCTGCACGAATGCCCACCGGCGAGTACTGCCAGTGCGGCAAAATGTTCTCACGCCCCCGGCGGTAAACATCAATAAGCAATCCAGTTTCATTCATACCATCTATGAAATACGCATAAAAACATAAAACCCCTTACCCCAAACTTTGTATAAATACAATAGACTTAGCGGTAGCTTAGTGGAATAGGGTTCCCACTTCGAGTTCAAAGATGAAAGGTTCGAATCTTCCCGTCTATACATTTTTCAACACCACAGGATGACCTCGGAGATCGGTCAACGTAACCAACTTCTAATCGACACAGACTTCAATGCGGAAGTACATTATAAATACTTATTATTCCTAAACTATTCAAGGACGCCACGGATTTTTGTGAGAAGTTAAATGGTTTATATTTTCTGCTATACACATTTGCTCTATTCTTGTTTAGGCTCATTTTGTCTTTGCGAAGTGCACGCGATCCAATTTTCCGTAAGCAAATGTCAATTTTAGCAGCACAACTGCCTTACTAACCTGATCTGCGTTTTAAGCAAAACTAAGCTGAGGTAATTACTTTGGCTTTCCCATATCTATCCTATTATATCCTATCGTAAAATGTAGCTCCGTTTATTTTGTTTGGTTAGGTATACATGTGTATGTAATAAAACACATACTTGGTTTCTGACGACATCACCACAAAAGTTGGAAACACAAAGAAATTTTGTGCAATTAGATTTATCTTGTTCAGAGCACTTGTATAACACTGAATACCTACTTAAAAGTGAATATTGAAATTCCGTCACTAGGAACTGGAACTCGTATTGTAGCAATTTCACCCCTACAAATTACAATTACAAAAGTAACTGTTGGATAAATACCACAGTAAGTAAGCTGTGTAAATACTTCGTGTTTACGTAATAAAAATCCCCTCGTTGCATTATCCTTTAAAAGTAAAAATGGTCGCACACATATCGTTCTTTTGCGCATCGGTTTTTGAGATTCATAACGATTTGCTTGGTGGTACTACTGTTGGAATTTCAGTTCGGTCCACCAATAAGAAATTTACTTCTGCACATGCGCGTACGCTGCTTTTGGCATGTTGTGATGCCATGCATAATTTTAGTTTTTTGTAATTTTTTGGGTTATGAGAAAGACCGGTTACACTACAGATGGTTCGTCTTTTATTTCAATTGAAAGTGGGCCATTATTAGATATGAGAATTACGGTTTTTATTTATATTGATCAGACTTTGTAAATTGATAATTTGCAGGTGTTTTTCTTCGTGTAAAATTTTTTCTCTCTTTAGAGTTTATTTTGGTCCAAAATAGTCGGTTTGTGATAAAACAACTTTATTTAGAGTATGGCGAAAAATGTGCGTTTTTAAAAAAGACGAGGAAGAGTTTACGTAACACGTAGGTCAACTGTCAACTGTTTTATTTATGGAGATATTTTTTGAAAATTTAACCCCAGATGTTTCTAATAAAGACAAGCATATTATAAAAATCAAATGTGCGCATGCGTAAACTGCGCAATGTCAACTTGCTCATTTGTAAATATCTTTTGAAATTTTAACCAAAGATTCTTCTAGTCAAAGCTGGGTCGAGCGTTCTAAAATCCGCGACGAGCTCTCTTAGTTTCTCAAAAATGCTCGCGAGCATCGAGTTGTTTTGCAAAGCGAAACCGCTTGCGAGTTCCGAGCACTCCTAAAAGTGCTCGAGCAGTTTATCGCGAGCGCTCGGGGAAAGTGCTCGGGAGCGGAAAAAACGCACACGAGCGGCAATTGATTCTTCAGCGCTTAAGGGCGGTTAAAAACGCTCACGAGCGAAAAAAAGCGCTTGAGCGCCGAGCGCTTTAAGTAAACGCTCGAGTATCGAGCACCAAGCGGTCGCCCCGAAAAGTGCTCGCGAGCGCTTTTTCCGCTTGGAGCGCTTTTTCAAGCGGAACGCTCGCGAGAAGTACCCAGCTCTGCTTCTAGTAAAGGCAAACGTATGGTATATTTTATACCTCAGGTGTTAAGTTTCTTATTTATAAGAATATTTATGCCATAACTTATTTTCCTTCGTACACATAAATAGATCGGGAAGTATTCATCAACTCATGGAAAATGCGCTACAGCACTGAATAAAAATAGTGTTATTATTCAATGGCTATAGTTACTACTCGCATTACGGCGAAAACCTTCTTTCTTCTTTTAGAATTAACTGCAGCAAAGCTTATCATAACCAACAATAAAGAAAAGTTCTTCAATTACTGACGCCGTTATCCGGCTCGAAGAACCATGTTTTACTATTTGCGATATGTTTGCCTGTTCTTTTTTGTAACGAATGCAATACTTTCCTTCCCCTTATATGGGTGCGGAAAAATAGCAAAAGTCAACATAAAATAAAACAATAATAGGTGTTTGAATATACAATGCAATTATATTTACTTATTAAAATTGAAAGTTTTGTACAATTCTAGAAACAATAAGTAATCTTTGCATTTCGGCAATTAATTTATTTATATGAAATGTATTCACAACATTATTGGTTATTACAAGGGACAAATTAAACGGAAACATTCTGAGAAAATTGCGTTTAATCGTTGAGTGAAGGAATTCAGAAATTCCCAAATGGAATTTTACTTAACGTATTATATTACTCTATGGTATTAACGAGTATAGTTACACTTTTTGAAACAGCTAACAATAACGGAAAATAATTAGTGAAATGTTATATAACTCGCTCATTAATTAAGACAAAACTGAAACATCCTTGCCGTAGGTCTTGGATTAGTTATTTCTGCATTCTTATAGAAAGTGCTCTAACGCTTTGAACTCATGCAGATTTTTTAGAGAAGTGTGTTTAAGCCATAAAGGTGCCATTAATTATGTTACACTGTTCCTCTTAGTCTTAGTCTTAGCATTGAATAAAAACACTATAAGAAGCCTAAGCCCGTGGAAATAAAGCGCGACAGAGATTGAACTGAGAATATAATGGAAACACTGTCAATAGTGTCAATTCTTGAACTGAGAAGAATGAGAATTTGCTTTCCTCCTATTTACCGCAAAGATAGTTCGGTGATCACAACCAATGCGGGTGCAAGGGGATTTGTCGCGCTTTCTTCCATAAGCGTTAGGCTTCTTATAGTGTTTTTATTCAATGGTCTTAGTTACTGGATTCTTAGTCCTAAAAAGATCTAAATCACTGTTAGGGGCATACCGCATAGGTACATAACCAGTATAGGGGTTACCCAACCACGGGTGATGGGCTGATGGGTGCTGTAGATAAATCTCCATCCGGTTGTAGCATGTTCATGTAGGTAACACTTTAATGAGATAGCACCACAAAAGGTTGAAATTTTAATTTTATACGAAGTTTATCACGGGAAACCCATACAGCCATTGTGGAGAAAGCTGCGATTATTTATTTGAGAAATGACGAATACCTTGTGAAATCAAGTTGATTATATGCTTGTTTGTTTATTGTTAATTACTAATTAGGCAATGCTGTTTATGTTAAGGGAAAAGAAAAAGTCTTAATCAAAGCTCAACTTTAATCTTCTCACTTTTTCTTTTCTAATACCGTAAACCGTTTTAGGTTTTTTCTCCTTTGAGCTAAATTAAAATCTGTTTATCATCTAGTTTGATTGATAACATCCCTCATGAGGTCCGCTACTATACGAGTACACACTTATGGGATTTTGCTTGTGTTCCGGACCTATTCATCAGTCACAGGCCAAAGGGGCACATCTGTGACCGCACCAGATATAGGTACTTCTGTGGAAAAGTAAAGTGACGTAAAGAGTATCTCCATCTAACTTCTTTTAACTTCAATCAAATGGCACCTCAAAGTCGAATTTTTGCTACCAGGCACCCAACTCTCAATATACATTTTTTTGCGAGACATCATTTTATTACGTAATAGGTCAGCGAAAGCTCCGTAGGGACCTAAAACAGACCCTTCAGTTCCTCACGCTCCGAAACTGCTCCAAGAACCTCTTGCATGTTGGGCATGTCACCCGATTATTGTGTTATTGCCGCGAAGTGTTTAGTTTGTCGTTCTGGCAGAAGTGTTGTCCTTTTTACTACATAACAAAGGCTTCTTTCCGTAACCGTAACCAAACAAAATGAAATTGTACAGAACCTTTGCGAGAAAACCAATCTGTCTTTGGTAGAAGAGTTGCTCTGATCAAAGATCGTACTGATCTTTGCTTTGATACTAAAGAATGTGAATTTGTGCGATCATGTTGTAATCCAAGGAAATTCACAGTTGTACCGATATTATGAAGCACACCTAAGTCAACTTTATTAACTCTACTCCATTTATCAATTACGATATAAATATGCTAAATTGGAAACTGTTGAACTTTGCTCCTTAAATGAATGATTGTAAGGTGATATCAATGTTTTGAACTAGTGGAAAGATACGAACAATGTGTAGGTACACTTCCAAAGGGTTTAAAGGCCGAAAAACTACTACCAAACTACTATTCAAGTAGAACCAAATTTCACTCACACAGAAGTACAATATGGTTAGCATCTACCTTTTTTATTTGAACTGAATTTGCCTTTTATTTTCAAGTACTGGAAAGGTGAGGTGGGGGTTGTTCACTCAATGTCCTAGTCCAGCATCCATTCCATCACGTTACAATCCACGACAGTGGAAGCGTTGTTTGTTCCCGCTGTTTGTTCCGTCGTAGTATCTAATTGTATGCGCTCAAATGCCCAAAGGATGCCAGGGATAATTTAGGCTGTGACAATGACGAATGAGACGGCAAATGAACCCCTCCCCATAAAATCCAAACATTTCCAAATGTGACGACAAGATTGATAAGCGTCCTGTGAATGATGATAACTATCTTTTTGTGCTATAAATAGGACGATGTGATAATCGCAAGACGGGGTTCACAATGTTAAGGACGTTCACTCAATTTCTCACACCGTGACTGTATCTTAGAATAAGCTGTAAAACATTCCATTACAGGAATTTATTAGATTGTGTGACTAAGTAATTGTGTAACGGCGCTATAGAAAAACTTGGTTGCGTATATTCTACAGATGTTTTACAGTTTTCAGGATGGCGGCAATTATGGCACTATACCGTACAGTATTACTGGAACGCCCAAACGTGTTATTTATTGTGTACATGGGAAACCTAGTGCTGGATGCTGCAGGGTCTTGGAAGGAGAAATATCAGAGTCGGGAGAATTAAACGCTATATCTCATGCCAGGGAAAACTCAGATACAACAAATTTAGGTGAGTTTGGTACTATAGCTAATGCGCCAAAAAAACATTTTACGTGTTACAGTCAACAAACATTGCCACCAAGTCAGATCAGAAAAGGTGGATAAAAGGGCGCGGCGAAAATTAATAGTGGCCAGTGTGCTCTGTGTGATATTTATGATAGGTGAAGCTTTAGGTAAGTTTTCATCCAACATGACGTTGTCATTTTACATTTGCACGTTTAAGGTGGTTATATATCAAGCAGTCTAGCAATAGCAACAGATGCAGCTCATTTACTGACAGATTTTGCAAGTTTTATGATATCACTGTTTTCGCTATGGGTCGCCACAAGACCGGCTACAAAGAAGATGTCGTTTGGGTGGTATAGGGCCGAAGTAATCGGAGCTTTAACATCGGTGCTTATGATATGGGTAGTCACTGGAGTTTTGGTTTACCTTGCCGTTGAAAGATTAATAGAGAAAAATTTTGATATTGATGCCAAAGTAATGTTAATAACCTCTGGAATTGGTGTAATAGTGAATATAATGTAATTTCAGTGAGTGAGAAGTGTTAGGGTACTTATTAATGGTCTATTTCGTTTTTAGTATGGGTCTTACTTTGCATCAACACGGTCACTCACATGGAGGACATGCCGGACATAGTCATAATGAAAACATAAACGTTCGCGCAGCATTTATACATGTGTTGGGAGATTTCCTTCAAAGTTTTGGAGTATTCGTAGCAGCTCTAGTCATCTATTTTAAGGTATTGTTTCTGGTGATATGAACACTGTTTGACTATTTTGGTTGTAGCCGGATTGGGACATTATTGATCCAATTTGCACATTTCTATTTTCAATATTAGTATTGTTGACAACATTTACAATTATTAAAGATACTTTGTTAGTTTTAATGGAAGGAATGCCAAAAGGGATCGATTTTAATGAAGTAATGAGCATAATTCTGAATATTGAAGGCGTGGAAAGAGTTCATAACTTGAGGATATGGGCGTTAAGTTTAGATAAAATCGCTTTGTCGTCGCATATCGCAATAAGTAAGTACCAACCTACATTTGAACTTTAACCGTCTTCATGGTTGTATAGGGCCAGGAGTCAATCCGCAAAGTATTTTAATGGTGGCAACAAAATGTATTCACGACAAATACAATTTTTTCGAAATGACTCTGCAAATAGAGGAATTCCAGGAGATAATGGAAAATTGCCATCAATGTCGAGGACCTGCACAATAGAGGCAGCTTGTTTTTTGTGTACATATAGTATCAAAATGCGCATTTTAAGTGATAATGAAGCAAGACGAAGGAGATGAAGCGACAGAATACTTTAAGAAAACTGTTAATTATATATATTTGAAGTTTACTGATTATTTTTCCATTAATAAATAATGGATTATTCCTTTTTGCTATAACTTAAATCTTAATCCAGGTAGGTATTTAACACGTTAGTATATACACAAAGCCATTATGAGAGCGAATCAAAACAAGTATAAATTGGGCACAACTCTGGCGCATTTTTTTAAACCGAAATAGCTTTTGTTTTGACATCAGTAATGGATATATTTCTTGCAGACGTCTCAATCGCTCTTTGTGAGTATCCTCTTCCGACAATCCGTTCTTGAGGTATAAGGGAATATACCCGATCACGATAAGAGGTCGAGGAGGAGGGCTATATGGTTGGTAGAAATTAATTCCTTTCGTTGAGACCATCCATTAGAGTACCATGAAGGATAAAAGTAGTTCCGCTCCCCCACCCCACCCCCTTTCCCCTAACCCGTACAGGGACAGAAAGAAGGGCAGTAGTTGGTAGAAAACTGTTCCTTTCGTTGAGACCTTTAATTAGAATACAATGAGATATAAACGAGTCAATAGGCAGTTAGGACCGAATTCTTTACTCGGTTATCTACTAAGTATTTAAAAAAATTGAAGGGTTGAAGTAACAAAAACAACGAGAAAGCACAATAAAACAATAAGATCTTGTTTACCCAATGTGGGGCCGGATTTACAGCTTGCAGATCCCCAAGCATGATGTAGGGATGGACCCTTATCTCTACCTTAAAACAAAACAAAAGGTTTAGTAAACGTTAGAGTAACATACCTATTAAATCATTTTACAACCTTCTCTATGCGACATTTTAACTGGGTCGGGCGCCCCCTTGGGTTGGGGGCTACAATAAGCTTAGATCATATATGATCTAAGGCTACAAGCACTCTGCTTGTACCTAAATCCGGCCCTGTACTGATTTATCCTTCAAGTCCACTGGGTCTTTCATATTAATAAGGCTTGAAGTGAAATTCGCAACTTATTTTACTAGTGCTACCTACCATTGAATAATGTACAGATTCTTTATTCAATGGTAGGTAGCACTAGTAAAATAAGTTGCGAATTTCACTTCAAGCCTTATTAATATGAAACCATTGAATAAGACTCGACTCGACTCTACATCGAATGTTTAACTATGAAATGGAAACCCCTTGCGCCAAATTACAGGTGGCCACCTGCACTCCCCTGACCGAATTTGAATGACGCAAACCAAACATACCTACCTTCAGGGGCGGATGGGCCCACTGGGATACCGGGAAATTTCCCGGTGGCCCGTCGTAACCAACTGTTATAAATGTATAGTTGTATTTGTATACTTAGTCGTTCAAGATTGGAAGAGACATAGAAAACTGACTCTCGGTCGACTGAACTGTGATTCTCAGCGCGAGGCGTGGTACGATGACGGTCGTAACTTGTACCGTATCCGTACGATGACTGGCGATTGCGTCTGCTCACTGCTCTATTTCACGGAAACGCTTGTTTGGCTAGTTCAAGTTGCACTGTTCCCTCTATCAAAGTATGTGCAGACAACAGGACTTGATTTGTTAAAATGTAACTCTATGGTGGACGATACCATACTGAATTTTAAAAAAATGCAAAGAAACATGGCGGAAGTTGAAGTCTCTGCAGATAAATTCGTAGAATGGGTTCATTTAACTTGAAAGAAGAGAATTCGATTTTGTCATTGAACAGCAATTGCCTGAAACACGTTCACAAAAAAAGAAAAATTCTTTGATGAGACAGCCTCTGATGAAGTCCCAGAAAGTCAGAAAGATAAATTTAGAGTAGGCTTCTTCAACGTCATTATGGACACTGCGGTAGAATCAATTAACAGAAGGTTCGCAAAAAACGCTGAATTATGCAGGGATATGAATATTCTGGACCCGAATAATTTTAACGAAATCACTAAATGTGAGCTACCTGAAAGTATTGTCAGAAAAATTGATAAGATTTGATGCTTCCGCAACTCCTGCGAAATTGAAAGAAGAGTTAACAAGTTTTGCGAGCAACTGGAAGTTTATTAAGCAGTCAATTGAAGATTCTTACAAAGTGCATTACGGTGATGTTGAAGTAGATTCAGACGATGACGATGGTTTAGAAACAAGATATGCCGAGGCCGAGGAAGATGGATCAAAGTCAAATACATGCACTGAAACCAAAAAATGCCAGAACTGCGTTATATGCTGCTATTGTGCAATTTTAAAATATAACTTGTTTAAGGGAGCCTATTCTACACTGGCACTGGCTTATCAATATATACTTTCAAATATACTTTCATTACCCATTTCGCAGGTAGCTTGAGAGCGTTCTTTTTCGACGCTAAAATGTATTAAGAATAGGTTAAGGAACACTGTGTCTGATAATAGACTTGAGTCATTCATGCTGATGAACATCGAGAAGGAAATTTTGAACGATATCGACAATGAAGACGTAATCAATCGTTTAGGTCAAACTACCAAACTAATGAAGGGTGCATTATTGTATTAATGATTTTTATATTATAAATTATAATATTTATATTCTCCAATAATCTGTAAGAATACTAATGTTTTGGGTTACCTTACCTACTGTTTTAATATAATAATGTTTATGTTATGTAAGAAACTTAATTTTATGATTTTTTTCATTATCATACATATTTTTTAATAAACACACCATTCACCAAAAAAAACATAATTTGCTGATCGCTGCTTATAATTTTGGCCTGCCATCATTCAGTTTCCCGGTATGATTTTAGTTGCCCATCCGCCCCTGCCTACCTTATAGTGTATGGTACTAACATCAAGCCGGCAACGTTTAAGAATGGCCACCGGAACAGCTATGTCCTCCAAAAGACCAAAACCAAACCAGATCCCGCTTAAATTTGCAATCGAAAAGTGGCACGTGATCAAACATCTAACGCTGGTCCCACTTATGGAACACAAAATGAAATACTATGATTCATAAATAAAAAAGTTTGCAATTCGTTTCATAAATGGCCGAGATGCGAAAAGGGCACTGTGAATTTTGAATCGATTTGACTCAACTTTTGGCATTGCGTATTATATGGCTAGAGCTATGCCCATATTGAATTTCATGCAATTCGGTTCATAAGTAACAGAGCCAATTCACAAACTACGATCTACAAATTTGATAAAGAATCCACTTACAAAATTTCATCGTAATCGGTGCATTCGTTATGGAGATATCGTGCTAACGGACAGACACCGCAAAATTATAAACTCGCTAGAAGTTTGTTAATAATTTCGAATGAGCAATAATGAAAATGTCAATGTATACGATAATTTATTGATATTAAGGCATGGTAAATATAAATTATCATACACAAAACATTGTATAAAAACAGATTACAAGGAAATTGCAAAACAAAGACCTGGTTGAGGTACAAGCAGGTACAAGGTCGCTACACAACAGATGAGTCATCTTTGGTGCAAGAAAACAGCAACACGAAAAATTACATGGCCTTAGAGGACAAATTTAAGGTTTACAACTATCTAACATGCGGAAGTTATAGTGAATGGCCACTGATCATATGATATATACATTCTAAACCGAAAAGTTTTTGTGTTAGCACCCCTGGAAATAATAATAATAATAATATGGTCTTTATTTCAACACAGATTTTATGACAATTATTATAACATATCGCATGGGGCGATATTCAGCTCACGTTAGAGGCGCGTGCTGTTCTACCCTCTAACCCCATAATTCGTTTGTTGTTTTTTTTAATTATTGGTCATGCATGTCCACTGCTGTACGCTTAAGAAATAATCATAAGGGACGTATTGAAATCTATTTTAAATCAGTTTTTGGTAGCAATATGGGTCCGCGTGGTCATCGGTTCCAGCTCCGGTACCAGTTATTCTTTTCGGTTCTTCTTCTTTAGTGTTTCCGCGTTTGCGACTCCATTTTGATATTTCTCTTTGTCTAGCACTGTGTGTAAAATTTGTGCTTTTGTCATATGAATCCAGGAGTTAATGTTATCTAGCCAGGTCGTGTTCGGTCTGTCTGGACGTCTCTTACCTTCGATCTTGCCCTCCAGGATAAGTGGCAGTAATTGGTATTTTTGGTGGTTCCTTAGCGACATGGCCTAGGTACCTATTTGTATGCCCGGAAAACAAATTTAAACTACACGATCCTTTCTGTGGGACAACTTAAAACCAGATGGTTGTACCGTAAGAAGCGTTCGTGCTCTGGAAACGGCGCAGATAGGTTTCCTCTTCTTCTAAAAAGCCGCACGATTGCCAGCTCTTAAAAATGTGCGCATCGTCGTAACTTATAAGTTTATGTATGCAGGATCAAACCTCTCATTTGATCATGCTAACATTTCCTCGATTTTACGCCTCGACACGGAAATCCTCAAGCACGATCAAACCTGCCTCAATACACATACATAACGAGTATCGCTATCACTCGTCGTTATCGCTTTTAATGAAGGTTCTAACTTCACAGACCGTCCAATATCGGTCTTTGACACGAGACAAAAAATCCTCGTTGATATTTGAAGCATTGAATTTATAAAATTCAATGTTTGAAGTACAATAATATAAATCGTCCACGGCGTACGATTCATTGCGCATGCGAAAACAACGTCAACGTACGTTGACCCTTCCGGCTTCCCCCAACTATTTTGGAATTGGAATGCGAACTCAGTTCCGTTTGGTAATAGTCTAGGGACCAGTGGCTATAGGGTATGTCCATAACGGCGCACCGCACATAGCATCGCTCCCTAACATTCCATACTGGTTTTCTGCAAAAGACAGGGCATTCGTTTCTCCTTGTCCATCGCGCGATCCTACTATACACTAGGCTTAAAAAATATTAAGCTCGATATCTCGGTGCGGAGCAGGACTATGTGCTAGGCGAAAGGAGAGGTTTCGTTGTGGCCACTATGAGTTGTTTTGCTTCGACCGTACCAGGCTAGGGGCAAGGTTTGGTGCTGTGCTATGCGCGGTGCGCCGTTGTGGACGCCGACTTACACTCTGGCGGCTCTGGTTAAATTCTTTGGTACGACAAAAGAGTTGAATATTAGGGTATTTGTAGGTTTAACATTTCTTTTTTAAATGTTGCTGAAAAGTAAACTTACACAAAATACTTCAAACATGCGCAGTGTATACTACGGCGTGGACGATTTAGAACAACGGATTGTGAGTGCCGTGCGTTTAGACACTTCGTTTTTGTCGACGCATTAAACACGCTCAGTCATATGCATGAAATTAGCAATATGTCTTGTTGGACTTGAAAATGGCATACACAATCAAATCTCAATCACAATAATTTTGCATTTAACAACAAAATGATGGAAGCGGTTTATTGTTTATGTGGACGTACTTATGATCCTAATGTATTTATGATACAATGTGATGTATGTAAAGATTGGTTTCACGGCAGGTAAGTTCTTTATAAATAAGAAATGTATATGTTTTCATTAATATAACCTCAAAATTACTTTGTTTAGTGTAAAAAGTTGTAATAATAATTTATATTGCAGCTGTTGTAACTTTCAAGAATACACCGCGATAGAAATAGAGAAGTTCCATTGCCCTAGATGTTCCCCAATTTACGGATCTTCAATATGTGAGTATCACGACTAAGTGTGGAAGTTTTTTGTTGAATGCCGAGTTTTAGATAAACCGTATTTAAACTGGCACAGATATGACTATTGGGATGGCAACGCGTCGACGAAGTCTGTGCAGACGGGAACTCCAGTTTTTGTACGCGAATTAAGAGGTCGTCATTTTACAAATGATAGCGAAGTAGTTACACATATGAGAGGGCAACAGTTGACTGACACCCTGTTGCAACAGCAGGGATTTAGTAATCCTATAATAGTCGACAGCGTCGATGGTTTGGGTATGAGTGTTCCTCCTAGTAATTTTAGTGTGTATGACGTCGAAGCTTCCGTCGGTGGCGAAATGGAACTCGATGTAATAGATGTTACGAGACAATCCGATATTAAAATGAAACTTAGTGATTACGTCGCTTATTACAATAGTACCAATCGAATACGAATTTTCAACGTCGTTAGCCTCGAATTTTCCGAAACAGGGTGAGTTTTTATTATTCATTTCGCAATTTCTACATCTTAATTGGCGCAATCAATTACATTCTTTTATTATCAAATGAGTAACTGTGACGCTATAAACAACTTTATCTTTGCAAGATTATAACCAGAAATTATTGCACATTCGTCATCAGTAAAACATTCTTTCATTACCGGTGAAGTCTAATCGAATGTTTATTAGTGTTACGGTGACTAAAAGATAAGTTCGCATGAGTGTTTCATTCAAGTCATGATCAGGTCACTTTCACGGATCAATTTTATCTGGTATTATTGAGAAAATCACTATGATAATTCAATTGGTTTCGCATTAATTGTTTATTGTGCGAATATTTTTAATTTGTTTACTTCGTTCTAAAAAAACATTAGATTGATCATGTGTGGTTTGGTATTGCATTTGTTAAACAGAATTTGACTTTATTTTGTAGTTTTTACACTTCATTTCTTTGGGTGGGTATAATAGGTACCTTTAAATATTCTTTGAATAGATTCAGTCTATAGATATTCACTGTTACCTTTCGTGTACCTAGAAATTCAAATTTTTCATTTTTGTATAAAATTTTAACACGATTGTATTTAAACAATGATCCTTGCAATGATCCTACTTTGTTAGTTGTCTTTTTTTGTAGTTTGCAGTAGATAAGGCACCTATCTGCGGATTTCGTAGCTGTACCTTTGGTTACAAAGGTCCTGGGTTCGAATCCCAGGAAGGACATGTTGTTTGTGATTGTATTAAAATAAAGGGTAAGGGAAAAGGGCGGTAGTTGGTAGGAAACTGTCCCTTTTGTTGAGACCTTTAATTAGAATACCATGAAAGATAAAACAAATTTTACCCCCCCCCCCCCCCTCCGTGCACTCCCAGAACCCGAAAAGAAGTCGCGGATGGAAGTTATAGTTTGTAGAAACCAATTCCTTTCAATGAAACCTTTCATTAGAATACCATGAAGGGTAGAACCGAGGGTAGAACGCCCCCCCCTCCCCCTCTCATTTTCAAAAGTTTTACCACTAGAGACATGCGTATGCAAAATCTTGTGTCCGGGTAGGTTCGGATGCACATCTTTTTGAAATTTTAAAGAAAATGCGCAAAAAATTAAGGGGCTATATTACACTCTAATTAGACCACAGTGTTTGCATCTCGGTTTGCATAAAAGATGTTGAATATTGGAAGTGGTGGTGATGTACCAAATTTGAAAAAAATGTGTGGCTGCAAAACATTTTAGAAAAAGGCACTTGTATATTGATTAGTAATTACATCCTGTGTATAACATGTCTTTGTGTTGAAATTTTGCATATTGCTTTAAGATCGACTCCTTACACGTGTTCGTTAAAACTAAGGTCCAAAGAATACCATCGACGATGTTCGTATTATAAACGAATGTTGGATTGCGCATGCGCAAAACAAATTTTTTGAATGGGCCATAGTATTATTTCCATTCAAAGTGCCTGTGTATCAAATGTCATTTTATTATCTTAACGAATTAAAAAAGTGGTGTTACGCATGCGCAAAATAAATGTTGTGTATCAATATTAGTTTTACATCTATTTGAGGTGCCTGAACACAAAATTTCATTTAGATATCTTAAATTAAAGAATTGGATTGCGTATGCGCAAAAACTAACGCTTTATCTGCAATTTTGTATATGGGTGCTTCGAATGCTACAGTGACAAATTCTTGACAAAACAACTTCTTAGCTCGAACCAAAGAACGCGCTTTTTTACCTTTTGTTTGTATTTATTGCTAATATGTACCTATCACTAATAATACATTTGTTATCTACAGTCAAGCAACGTTGCTCCCTGTTAGTATCTGGATATCCACTCGAAAACTCCGCTTGTTAATAAAAAATGTGGAAAAAAGTTTTATGACGTCACGTTGCTAAAAACTCAAATATTAAAAAACGTTTTTGACAGAGTCTTACATCCTTTATGTTTAATGTACATTTGTAAATCCAAAACGAAACATTTCGAACTGTCTGTAACGTACTCGGTTTGTTATAAGTTAATCCCCGACTGAATTTACGTTGTGTAAGTTTGGTTGGGTGTACCCTCATATTGTGAACATTAAATGTGCGCATGCGCAGTCTATGCGCATTCTGCGTATTGCCAACTACCTTATTTATGAAAATATTTCTTTGAAATTTTAACCATAGATGCCTCTAGTAAAGAAAAACAGAGCGCACATATCTATGGCAGTTTAGGAAGTACTGATCATTCCATGGAAAATGCACTGAAGTTACTTTTCTTAGGGCGAAAACCTTTTTATTTGTTATTATTAAAGATAATTGATTTTGGCAAAATCTTTTTTATGTACAATTCATCGCGATAGACCGTTTTTATACAGGGTGCTTGGTTTTTTTAAATACGACCCCAGACTACATTTTTTCATATGGACGTAAAATTCTTCATTGTTTTTTTGTGTGTGAGATTAATTAGAATTATTTGGAACTATTAAATTTTTCCAGGTAACAAATAAGTTGTTGTTTTAAACATTCCTGCCATCTTTTATTCGCCATGGAAACCGAGATGTCTGCAATAAAAATATGTATAAAATGCAATATTTAATGTAAATATACCAAGTAATAAATAGAAATTTTACACTTATTTCAAAAACTCCAAAGTATGTAGAGTTGTTCGTATGAAAAAATGTAGTTTAGGGCTGTATTAAAGAAACCACCCTGTATAAAAATTGTGTATCGCGATGGATTCTATATAAAAAAGTACATACTCTAAAAAAGATTTTGCCAAAATTAATTATTTTAAAAATAAGAAAGTTAAAGAAATCCACTAAATTTGAGAAACGTCCCTTAGCGCCCAAACGAGTAGAGATGAATTCTGTTTGCACCAGTGATTTTCTTTTTAAAATTGAGCTCCGACCTAGGTCCATTTTTTTCTATCTCTTAAAATACAGGATGGTTCTATAAGAAAGTGTCCAATCTGGACTACCTACCCTGTACATACATCTATCTATCTATCTATTCACAGGAGAGCCCGACCAGGCAGCACTTAGGCACACCAAAGGCTCATTGTGCTCACCCCCTTTCTTTCGCAACTAAGTTCAGGGTCCGTTCCTCTCAAACCCTGTTTAGCCTAAGTTGATTCTACCCTTCCCTCGTTCCAGATAGCTGTGATGATGTTTGTCTCTGATCAGGACGTCACAGTGACAGACCACATGCTTGGTAGTTTCATCTGCCTCAGAACCTGAATGTGTGCTCCTCCACAAGCCCAATGTTACACAGGTGATAGTTGACCATCCAGTAAGGACACAGGTGATTGCCAAAGCGCCCTGTTAAAAAGGTCCTGAACTGTCTGAGTCCGGTTGCTTCTTACCAATGAGTTTGGAATTGCAATCCGAGTTAAGCCACTGCTCGCTATCCGGGAGAATGACTTTATAACTCTTTGGTCTTAGTAAGACCTGGATCACATCTTTTCTTGTGAGGAGGGAATCTGATCCGAGGGTTTCCTTCTAACACCACCCGTGCCCAAGGCTGCTTCGATCCTTCCACTCATCCCAATCGTTTACCCGTATGGAAGCCTTCCGAGCCTCTGCTTCCACAGCTAAGTGTAAAGGTTTCTAGTTCCAGAAGTGCCTCCATGGCCAAAGTTGGTGTGGTTTTCATGGCTCCAGTGACTTCCCAACACGTGAGTCTCTGGGCTTTTCTGATTGGCTTTGCCGCCCCTGTCCATGGTAGGCTAGCAAACGAGTGCACCGTACAGTTTAATATACCAGTTGAGGCAACACTCCACTCTGCGGACATCTTCTAGTAACCGATGAGCTCGTCTCCGTCGTCCCGATGGAGAATATAATGACTTTGCTTCCAAGCATGGCTCAGATCCATCTTACCGATTTTCGGTGGAGCTCTCTCCCTTACCTGGCGCAGCCGGAACACTCGCTTTCGTCACAAAAGTGACGCGCGAGACCCCCGCGTGTGTTTGAACTTCTGCCGTTGGAGTACCTGATAGGATGCCTCATCGACACCAAATGCGAGGAGGACCTCCCGGCGGAAGAACGTCCTCAATTGGCTCGTCCGGAAACCAGGATTTTGCCTCTGGAGGTGCTGCAAGATGGTGGCCGTGTCATCCGGGAGCCTGTATAACACAGCTATTACCTTGGTTACATACCCTCTAGGAGGAAACAACTTTGAATTTTTGGTGTATACCCTTTTGACTTAATTTGAATTAACGTGAATTAATGTGAATTAACGTGAATTAATGTGAATTAATTTGAATTAACGTGAATTAATTTGAATTAACGTGAATTAATTTGAATTAACGTCAATTAATTTGAATTAACGCGAATTCATTTGAATTAACATTAATTAATTTGAATTAACGTGAATTAATTCGAATTACCGTGAATTAATTTGAATTAACGTGAATTAATTTGAATTAACGTGAATTAACGTTAATTAATTTGAATTAACGCGAATTAATTTGAATTTGAATTTTTGGTGTACACAAAAAATGGTACTTGTTTCCCCTAGGACGCGTCAGTCCAAGGTGTACTGGTCTTTGCATTCGGCCTCCCCCCGTCCATCTCGTTGACAACTACACCCATAATGCACCTCGGCCGAGGCTCAGTGATGTCCACCTCCGGGTGTGATTTCGGAACGATGGTCACTCTAAGCCCTGCCGTAGCTACTTGCCAATAGGTTGGTGGTGCACCCGTAACTTTGGGTATTCCAGAACCTTGAGGCTTCTTCTCAAGTTGCCCTGAGCCAGACCCTGGAGTGCTTCCCTCCGATCTGAGACGCTTGGTGCCTGACGTCGGGTTGCCGCCCTGAGCCAACAACTCAGATACAGCACTTGGCCTTTGCAGGGCTATTCTTCTTACGAATAAGAGCTGGCCCAACACCAGGTCGTTGAATGAGGCCCTGCGTTGGAGCCGTCGACTCTTTCAAGGGGCCTGCTCTGTTACCGGACTCCTTTTGAGGACCCGGGCTTGTTGGCCCCCTCTGACGAGGAGCCCAAAAAGGGTTTGTTTGAATAATCGTCCATACAATTCCCACGAGTAGTGCGGAAATGCAGAGCCGCTTGCCCAGGGCTTGGCTGCCAGCGCCTTCCTGAAGGAAAGGGGCCACCACTCGGAGGTTGCCCAGTATCCGAGGGGCACCATTATCACCACCTTGACTTGAAAGTTTGGTCCACGGCGACGACTCCTATCCGTCACCCGAAGACGCGCCCGATGAGTGCCTCCACAGCATGGGTAGTTGAAGGTTTGTTGTAGGACTTCAACGCTATCTCATTTTGTAAAAAATTGTGAAACTTCACCTATATTGTGCCAAAATGAATGATGATACTTTTATTTATTTGTTTATTTATTATCCCTCTTTTGTTCTGGGCCCTCAACCGGCTTGCGCCCAGTTAATATACAGGGCGTTTCAAAAAGAATCATCCGATTTTGTAGGTTTATAATTTGTTTAGACGCCATTTTGACAATAACTGAGCTGGGCGTTGACAGAAGCGCGCTACTGCTACCTAGCGGAAACCACGCGAAACTCGAGAGCTTCCTCTTACTAACAGTACATTGTTCTATCAAATCGGACTTATAGATGAATAGCAATAAATTTTTAAAATCGGATGATTCTTTTTGAAACGCCCTGTATATAATATAAATTTCTAAGGATCCTCAGGTCCTTTATAGTTTTGTATTGTCGTCCGTCCGTCCGTCCGTGTGCGCTCTAACTCTTTTTAAAAGTGGTCGATTGTGTTGAGATTAGGTGTACGGATACTTTGGACATTAAGGACGGACGCTATGGATTTTCAGGAAGCTGGTTCAACAAGAACAAAAGTTATAGGACTCCCAGTGAATCGGAAACAGGAAAAACTGCGGGCTCAATATAATAGAAATCAAAATATTTCATTCCCTAGGTCATGTATCGAGTTTGGACTTTCGGTACATTATTCCCTATGACTCTTAGATGTGTAACAATTCAATATAGCTCTTCTCTGTGGTATAGGTCAAAAGTTTTAGAGCAAAATGTACCTAAAATTATTTTTTACACATGAATTTGGAGCTTTAAAAGTTTTAAAACGCATGATCTTGATGCTGAAAGAGTACGTCACGTGCACATTTGATAACCGCATGTGTGTGATTCAAAGATGTTAAATTATTTTTCTGAGGTTACATGGATTTTGATCAAAATATGTCAAAATCGTTATTTAAGCACCAAGATCGTTGGGAAAAAGACTAGGGGCTTTATCTCAATGCCCAAGATATGAATTTGAAATGGCGACCACGTGGATTTTGATCAAAACATGTCAAAATCGTTATTTATGCACCAAGAACGTTGAGAAAAAACCAAGAGCATTATCTCAATGGTAAAAACATGAATGTGATCTATTTTTGGCGGCCACATGGATTTTGATCAAAACATGTCAAAATCGTTATTTATGCACCAAGATCATTGGGAACAAGATTAAGAGCATTATTTATCTCAATGCCCAAGACATGAATTTGATGTATTTTTTTTAGTATCAATTGATTTTATTTAAATATTATATAGAATATTTCGAACATTTAAAAAAGGTTTAAAGAGGAAGAAAATTTTTAATTGTAAGATTAAAATAAATTATCGTTAAAAGTGATTGTAATACTGAGGATCCTTCGATATTTTGTTGTATCGGTTTATTAATATTCGGTTTAAAATGGCTTAATTCGTATAACATAGCGTGAAATAGAATCATACATCATGTGGGTGGATTTTAGTTAAATTTAGTGTGACTGTAAGTATGCATATGTTGTATATTGGCGTGGGGTTACGTTATCAGTTCATTTCTTTTGTTATCTTTATTTTACTGTAAAACATAAAACTCCAGTAAATGTTTTCTTATTACGCATCCTGATTTATAGAACTGCAAAAAGTGACATCTCTAGTATGATCATTAAACCTCTTGTATTTTTGTGTAACAAGTAATAACTGAGGTGTGTTGCCTAAACACAAAACCTATGCGACCGCCCATAGTGGTCATGAACCATAACAACCGTTGCCCGGGGTATGTTTAGGCAACTTAAATTGAAGTGGTGTACATGACGAAACCATACATTCACCGCAAAGACGATTAACAACTGGTGCTAACTAACGCTAAGACTAAGTAATCTTGAACTGACGGCAAATAATTTATTTTGCTTTTATTTTTGAGTGGGCGTGGTTTCAGCCAAGGCTGCTCTACCAACCCAACCCACTATGCATTTACAAATATCCATGCCCAAACTCGGATTCGAACCACGGACCCTTAGCACCACAGTTCAGCTTTAACTGAACTGCGCCACAGGGGGGCTGCAATACAGCATAATGTCACAGTAACGCTTCATATCATATGCATTGCTATTGTCATGTATCTGACCAATTTGTACATGTAGTGCCAGTATTATTAATCCATAAATCTAATGTGGTATGTTCACAGATTGTCCAGATATGTGGAAGCTCCAATGGTTGCACGAAAATTAGATTGGGTTAATATAATGTGGATGCGAAACTACCATATACCTCCACCACGTGTTCAAAAGTATTGTTTAATGAGTGTAAAAGATTCGTATACTGACTTTCATGTCGACTTCGGTGGTACAAGCGTTTGGTATCACGTGCTGAGAGGTGAAAAGATATTTTATTTTATTCGGCCCACACCTGCAAATCTAACATTGTATCAGCAGTGGATGACTTCTTCAAATCAAAGTGAAACCTTTTTCGGCGATCAAGTGAGCTTATATTGGCGACGTTTCGCAATACTAACTGTTTATATTCAGGTCGATTGTTGTTATAAGTGTACTTTACGGCAAGGTCAAACTATGTTGGTTCCAACAGGGTGGATACATGCAGTTCTAACACCGGTTGACGCTTTGGTGTTCGGAGGGAATTTTATGCACAGTTTGAACATTCCAATGCAATTACAGTATGGACTAAATTAAATTGGGTTTGTTCTAAATTGTTTAATTTCAGAATTTACGAAATTGAAAAAAAAGTCAAAACCTTAGAGAAGTTTAGGTTTCCTTTTTTTGAAACGATGAACTGGTTTGCTGCTCAAAAACTCTATCAGCAAATACGCGAATTAAATAGCGAGGAAAAGAAGTGTCCCGATCTGCTTTTAGCTGGTCTAAAGGCTCTCTTGGCAGTATTAAAACAATGGAATTTAGAAAAGGATTATAATGTTAACGTACGAGAGCAAATACCCACCACAATAAATTCGGCAAAACTGATTAAAGATATATCAAAAGAGATTCGGCACGCTGAACGCTTCATAAATGCACTAAATCCTCCCAAACCAGAACGCGAATCAAAGAGGAAGAGGAAACGGCCCTTCAATAAAGACTTTGTCGATTACCCGCTGTCTCCAAAATCATCCCAAGAGGTAAATTATTGGTATTATTGGAGAAGGTAAAATTTCGAACTATGTTGCAGTATTTTTCGGAACCAAGAATTGAGCCCAACCAGCCACGAATTAAATTAACGTTACCCAAACCGGCGATGTATCCATACGAGAATATATCGTCGCATAACATATACGCCAATAATCAAGAACCGGCCACGCCTTGGGATAGCAATCTGTTCTACCGTCCTGAAGAAACTACCGCTATTCATCGAGGAGGGGCAGTTTTAAAATTTAAATTAGGGTATGTCTTTGTCGAGATTTTAGGAGAATCTGTTTGGTATGAAGTTAGCACTGAGCAAGAGCAAAGAGCAATCATTTTGGAATTCAAAAAGTAACTTTGGAGTCTAGAGGATTGCTTAAACCTTGTCCTCTTATTCATTCATTTTGAAAATTCAATCATAACTTAATTTGTCGCCGGTGACGATCCTTGAGAGCCAAGGGCCTCCCATCTTCAGAGATCTTCCCTATTTGCTCGGTCCTTGTTAATCAATTCAGGTACAACACCAGGGAAGGCGGCTATTTTTAGCTTGTCGCTCAGGGCGGTCTTCCAAGCTGTGCAAAAAAACGATTAATCCATAACTTATCGATTAATAGATAATTAGTCATTTAAAAGTAGTGCTTTGCAAAAAACGATTAATCGATAACTTATCGATCAATAGATAATCGATAAATTTAAAAAAAAAGTTGACTAATCGATAATTTATCGAAAATTTTAAATCTATAATTCCCCACAATCTATCGATTAATCTCACAACTAAACTAAGAAAATAGATAATTATCGAGAGAATTTTTAGCGACATAAACTTGAGAAGTCCATTTTTAATGTTTATACCAGCTTACTTAAAACAAAAGCGATCAAATAAGAGCAGTGTGGAGTTGCCATGATCTAGTGCTGTGCAAAAAAAACGATTAATCCATAACTTATTGATAATTATCGATTATCGACGGCCGATAAATTAAAAAAAATATCGATTAATCGATAATTATCGATAATTTATCGATTAATCGATAATTAGTCATTTAAAAGTAGTGCTTTGCAAAAAACGATAATTTGATAACATCGATAATTATCGGTTAATCGATAACTTATCGATCAAGTAAGAGCAATGTGGAGTTGCGATGATCTAGTGCTGTGCAAAAAAACGATTAATCCATAACTTATCGATAATTATTGATTAATATCGATAATTATCGATTAATCGACTGCCTATAAATTAAAAAAATTATGGATTAATCCATAATCGATAATTAGTCATTTAAAAGTAGTGCTTTGCAAAAAAACGATAATTCGATAACTTATCGATTAATCGATAACTTATCGATAAAAAAGATAGATAATTATCGAGAGAATTTTTAACGACATAAACTTGAGAAGTTCATTTTTAATGTTTATACCAGCTTACTTAAAACAAAAGCGATCAAGTAAGAGCAGTATGGAGTTGCCATGATCACAATTCACAACCTATTTCTCTACTAATTTTTTAGGATTATCGTCCACTTGATCACCTTTGATTTAAGAAAACTTCAGCACACCTACGTACAGTTGCTTTAATATTTTTCAAAACATCCTGTTTTTATTTAAATTATCTCTCGCAATACCAATACAAAAAAAGAAAAAATGTTTGCGAGTGTACGCATGGATGATGTAATTATACCGTCTAGATTGGGATCCATCTTGTAACTATACCGATTCAGAACATATTTATATCGATAACATTTATAAAAAAGTATCGATAGTTTTCTCTTTATAATTACTACTTCTTATCTATTAATCGATAATTATCAGAGATGAACAATTTTCGACAAGTGTCAATAATAATCGATTATTATCAACATCTAACAATCATTATTGATTATTTTCAAAAGTTATCGAATTATCCATACTTATCGATTAACGATTAATCGATAATTATCGGACTAAACAGACTTATCGATAAATCGATAACAATTTTATTTATCGCCCATCACTAGCTGCTATAGCCCGAATTACAGGATCAGTCAATTTGGTTTGGGTACCTTAGGTTCCTTCACTTCCTCAATTTGATACTGTGCTCGAAAGGAATATATCATCTGCAAAAATTGGGGAAGTGACCGTCGTATTACCACGTAGGGTGTACCCTGGTTGACTTCTCAGCATGCACAGGAACGGTTGCAAAACTGTTAAATAATAGGGGCCAAAGATGGTTGCATTGTCGAAATATCCTTATATGCTTCATCTACCATACATATCGCCTTCTTACGGAGTGCAAGTGCCAGTGCTCCTTGAGGCACTATGTCGAAGGTTCAGGTCTAGGAAACGCACTCCACTTTTTTGAATTGTTGAGGCACCTGAGACCGCGAGGTATTCTCCGTCACAGCTTCAGTATTTAAGAAAATGGTATATTCTCCATACTAGAACAGAAAGAAGTTTGTCTTCCAGTTACTCACGTGCATCGCAAAGAGGGAAGATTTGTCATGCTGTGACTATTATCAGAATTTTAGCAGTATACAGACTTGATTAGACTATTAGAAAACTGCTTATGCTCCTTCGATTTTGAAGCTGAGTTGTGGTCGATTCAATGTAAGAAAGAGAGTCTTAAGGAGTATTCTTACGAAAATCACGTTCGCGCTCATTTATACCAAAACGCAAGCAAATCGAAATAATTACGAAAAAATGTCTAGAAGATGCATTGTAGAGAACTAAATTTCTAATAAGATCGTTCACTAGGGCATATGCCTACTTCAATGGTTTTTGAATTGAGTCGGTTTATGTAGGTGTTTGCAATACCTCCGAATGCTTATAACACTAAACATCACGGTAAACACATGCCGTCGCAGCGTTCTTTGTTTTGTGCAAAATTACATGGTCTATCATTTGCGCATGCGCAATCAACTCTTATTTGTTAATATATTTCGTTGAAATTTTTACCACAGATGCTTCTAGTAAAGGCAAAACAAATCGCACATAGTAAAATCAGATCTGCGCATGTGCAGAGTGCACCAGGCCGACTTTCTTATTTATGAAGATATTTCTTTGAAATTTTAACCATAGATGTTTCTAGTAAAGAAGAAAATAGCTCACATAGCTACGTCCTTTTGGAAATTACTGATCAATTGCATGGAAAATGCGCCTTATTGAAATAAATGCTCGCGAACGTGATTTTGGCAAGAAAACTCTTTATAATTCCACTAGTTGAAGTGGGATAGGCTGAGTATATTCTCCATTTTTCTTGCATTTTGTCCTCATACAAGATAGGGAGTTCATAAACCTCTTGCCCCCTGTTTTACTTTAAATTTTGTTTGGAGTTGGTAAAAGGAATTCGATACCAAGACATCCCTTGTTTATTATTGAACCCAAATCTCGATTGAACCCCTCAAAAATCTCAAACCTTATGAAGAAATGGTTTCAAAATTATTTGCATCAGAATTCCCACAGAGAAATTAACTCTTGGCATTCCAACCAGATTCTGTAGAGATGCTTTGCTTGTATGTTGTAAAGCATTCAAATTTACTAAAAACTTTTTAGAACCAAAGACTATTTCGCCCACAATAAACCCCCCGACGTTACCGATACGGAGGTTGTGAACCATTTAATTTCGCCTTCTAGTACAAAATCAATTTATGACTTCCACGATGACAGTGAAAAAGAGGAGGGAAGATTGATGGTTGATGAAAATCATAAAAAAGCAAAAAAAAAATTGGCCGCTCCAAGAAATGCACCGAAATCGAAATCCGCAAGTAATTTTTGTTCCCTTTAGTTTGATTAGATGTATGAGAAATTTCTTTTAGCGTCGTGGTGTGTCAAAAATAAAAAACCAAAAAATGAAGGGGGTGACGGTTTACTGCCCAAAAATGGGATTGAATCTCTCCTGAAGGCTTCCGTTCTTACAAACAAAATTAAAAGGTAAGCAATACCGCTCAGTTTGGCTAAGTTTATTTAATCGATGTGTTAGGGAGGAGGGGGGCTGTGCGTCACCTTCTACAGAAGATGCTATAGCCGGAATGTTATCAATTAGTCAAATGTACATCCAGCCTGGAAGGAATGTATCTAAAAATTCGCGTAAACATGGCGTAGATAGTGACTCTCCTGTCGACGAGGAAAATGTAAACAACGTTCATCAGGACGAAGACTACAGTACATATCTACTTTTATGTTTCACTCTCCTAAACATGTAACTCTTGCAGTTTATCCGTCGTTAGATAATTCGGACGATGAAGAAATTCACATATTCAAACCGCGTGGTCGTTCAAAAATTGACGAGGCGTGGAATCCCAAGGCTAGAGTCGGCCCTCTGCTGCCGAAAATGAACAGGCCGCTGAGGGAAGGGACAAAGAAACAGGCTGTAGAAAAGGTACTCGAAGCAGCGGCAGCTAAACGTGCAACTGAATCTCCAGAAAAAGTATTTCATAGCTTCCCTAGTCGAGGGGTGTCATGACATTTTTAATTTTAGAGTCCAAAACGACAATATAGGAAAAGAAAGATAAAACCCAAGCCAGTTATGAAGAGCCCACCATCCAGTTCGTCTGCAGTTAGTACACTGCCTAGCACTTCTTCCACCAGTCCTAGCGTTGGTAAGTAAGGACTTTGATACAATCACAATTCCATAGCATATTTAGTCAGTGGTTAAACAATAGTAAACGAACATTAACTATTGTAAAAAACCTTTGGTACAATGTATAGTTTAATTATTTTTTCTGTTTTAGCAATAACACACAAACAGCGAAAAGGAATGAAAACGGTTAAACAGCGGCTGGGAAAAATCTTAAAGATCCACAAAATGATCTACTAGCCGTAATTCGATACTTGAAGAATTGCATCCGATTTGTGTTCTTTTATTAGTACAGTATTGTTAGATTATGTTAAAATCTATTGTTTAGTAGAATACTTTCAATTTGATTGGACGGAATTGTAGAATTTGTTTTTATCCTTGTTAATTAGTAGTATAGCTAGTTTTTAACTTTTAACAATAGCGTATTTTCAGTTTATGATTTGTTAAACATTTCTTAATTTTATTTAAAATAAAACGATTATGAATTTTGTACTACTATTAGCATTTGTATATTTACCAACGACAGTTATGTGAAAATGTTAATGGACCCCTCCACTTGAAATATTTTATATAAATAATTTTTTGATATCCCTCTAGTTTCCTCAAGAGTTACAATACTCAATGCCGGGACTGATCTCGACAATCAACAGTCTCGAAACCCCGAACGAAGGGCGAGTTACCTATCTCGGGGGCGAGATTCTGCTAATAAAAACTCTTTTGTTTAGAATCTATGTGTGATATCTGAGTTGCGATTCACTGATTTCCACATGCTTTGTTTTAATATTGAATTTGCCCCCTGTAATTTTCCATCTTGCTCTTAAGACAGGGATTTTATTGCACCAAAGATGAGTCACATCCTGTGTAGTTCATCCTTTCTCAGAAGATTGGTACCTGTACATTGTTCCCAAAACCTGTTTTTAACCTATATGTCACCTCTTGAAACCTACATGCTACTTTATTTTGTTAATTTTGTTGTGCATTCACATCATTACAAACAATTTTGCTACACAATTTAAAATTAATTTGCCAACTGATTTTTTTCTTGGTAAGATCTTTTTTCTCATCCTATTTCTGTTTTTATTCGGTGAACTGGGATTTCCAAAGTTTATTCTTGCAATGTATTTTATTTCGATAATCTTCATAATAATATCAATAAGTATTAAATTTCAGTGTTTTATTTACGTTCGCTTCCCAACCGGACTTCAAGTCATAGCGCTAACTAAGGGCGACCCCTTTGATTATATACTACCTTCAAAGGGGGACCCTGCCTTAGGTGCTTGATCACGTGCCACTTTTCGATTAGGATCTGTTTAGTTTTGGAGGGAATAGTCATTCGGGTGGCCATTTTTAAACGTTGCCGGGTTGACTTCATTTCCGTGTTCTTGTAGTGTGAAGTTAGCGTACAACCTGTGGGTTAAGTAAACTACAAGTTGCGTAAAATTATTTAAAACGTCGAAATTTGTCTCTTCAAAAAACAATAATCGCAATAGTCCTCATGCTAGGAAGTGAATAAGTTACTAAAACAATTAGTGGAAGTAACAGAGTGCAGTGGTATGTTGTAGTTCTTCCATAGAATCATCCATTCATGTCAAAATAAAGGACATTTCAGGTAACAGTCAGCTCCGACTGGGTGGTACGAATCTAGCACTCATACGTTGTGTTATACTTAGGCGATTCTTTTGCGTGTTGGGCCATCGCCCGACGCATCCCCACTATTAATATTCTATTAGACCGACTAGTGCCAGTTGGCCTCTCCTGCAGACTCTAGATTGCTCATCTGGGCACAGTCCGTATACCAATATCACGTGTAGGCACTTATATTTGTTGTCAAATTGATTTTTTTAATTAAATGTGTAGTACAGATAATAACAATAATACAAATAGGTAGGTACCAAACCAAAATTAGGTCTATTCATGGAATAAGTATTACCTACATATTCCATATGATCTCTGCTACTGCGAGGACTCTGTATAGCTTTCCTCTCGCTTCAAAATTTCAATTCAACGACATTCTAATTTATTTAATGTATTAATAATAGTAAAAGGTTACTATACCGTTTAGAATCCATATAATAAGTAACAATGTACACATACAGGGTGTCAATTTTAAAACTTGCAGTCGGCCATATTTTTCAAACTAAAGAAGATATTGAAAATCGCGCAAAACCATTTTGGGGGTATCAAGGGGGAACCAGACTGACGTTATGAGTGACAACCCCCTTAACCCCCCATTCCCCCCCCCCCTCTTCAAAAACCCTAAATGGCAATCCCATACTTGTGACACATCGTTGACTTACAGTACAGCTGAACGTGTGGAAATATAATATTCCTTTATGGCTCCGAAAATCGATCATCTTTTAGAACAGCTAGAACGTTATTAATAAGAGACATCCCGGGAGAAATGTAAGCGGCCGATTTGGTCGCTAAATGCGAAGGGGTAGCTTTCCAACGATGTGTCACAAGTATGGGGTTGCCATTTAAGATTTTTTAAGAGGAGGGCTGAGGGGTTAAGGGGGGTGGGGGATTGTCACTCATAACGTCATTCTGGTTCCCCCTCGATACCCCCGAAACGGTTTTGCGCGATTTTCAATATCTTCTTTAGTTTGGAAAATATGGCCGACTGCAAGTTTTAAAATTGACACCCCGTAAAGTGTAAGCTACTTTTATTGGTTTTCATAAAAAATATGCATAAAATTTAAATGAGCGCGGGTGAATTTTTTTTCTTAATTTTGGCAAATCCGCCCCTGAATTCAGATCTAAATCTAAAACGGTAAGTGAATCTGAATTACCTTGTTCTGTTCTAATCATAGAACGAGTTGAACTAAAATTCTATTTATAAAAATTCGCTTAAATGATGCTAGTAGTTTTGCGTGTTACGTTTAGTTAGTTCCATTTAGAGTTCTTTCGCTTTCAAAGTAAGTTCATGGTGTGCTTTTATTTTTGATAATTTTAAAATTGGAATCATTGCGTAATATATGTATCTGATGTATGGTGTGTCTAAGTATAAGCACTGAATACGCATAATATGCACGAGGAAAATTATTGCGTGCCCACCGCTAAGTATAGGTACCGTATTCATTTTTCTGCGCTGCATCTGAATTGGTCAATGAAACATTGTAATAATATCAAAAAGTTTAATTTTCCCGGTACCTATAATCGTATTATCAGTTGCTTTAATTTGCATATCTACTTAACACTGCATAGTCGCGAAGACATGTTTTCCGGAAACCGGTCTTTCAGGATACCGCTATTTTTGATAATTGCATACTTTAACGCGGCGCCTTAGACATTTTGACCGCTTTCCTTTTCAAGTGTCTCCAATCCAAGAGTCATGACGAACAATAAGAGCTGTCTTCAAAAACTTTTCGGAATCGTTAAGAGACTTTAAGGCCTATAATAGTTTTTGGAGCCTTTAAAAGCCAATCGGAGCTGTCGTTCTTTAATATCTTGTCGATAATAATAATCTTTGATACAAATGGAAATGATTTTGTTCTTCTGTAAGAGTGTGATTCGATTATTCTGCAGTTAACTGTCAAAGGAGACCATTTGAAGTGGATTTTATTGTTTTATTTAAATTTATTATTTATTCCCATAAAAATATATGTCTGCAAAGGAAGATATTTGTGTTTGTTTTTTTGTTGTAAGCGGCTCTTAAAATTTGGTTCAAAAGTATTGGTTGTAGTGTACCTACACAACTATAACTCCTATATGGCTCTACGCTTCACTTCACCCTACAATAACAAGCAAATAAAATCAACCCGGCAACGTTTCAAAATTGCCACCGGAATGCTGTTCTCTCCAAAACTAAACAGATCCCACTTAAATTTGAAATCGAACGGTGGTACTTGATCCAAAGTCTAAGACAGGGCTCCCCTACGTTACTTCTAAAAAACGCTATTACCTGAAGTAGGGTAGGGAAGGAACGTAAAATGTTAAAAGCAATATGGAAACTTACATGGGTTCTAAACATAGGTTTCTAAACCGAAGAGTTTGGTCTTCACGCGGGAATTCCAAGGGATTCGCGGTCAATCAGGCAATCAGTGCGTAACTAGTGTGGTTACAAAATTCCTAACCCTATGACTGTCTCAAGGCGAAAAGAAAGATGAAAAAGATTTCAAACAAAAAAAGGGAACGGCATTTTCCAAACACGTACGTAATTCCGCAATGCGAGGTTTGAGATGACCTATCTCAATTTCGAAACAAGGATTGAAAATTATTAAAAAAAATAAAATGTATACAGAACACAAATAAATTATACAGAAATGCAAAGATTACTACCCGCATTAAATAATACAAAAAACAACATACTTTTACAAGATGTTTTCTCGACTACCGCTGAAACCAAGATGACCCTAACGTAAGAATGAGCGTTGGTGCTTTAGAAGACGCATACGTTATAATTACGTTTGTTTCGCACCCCAAAGTTTAACAGATGAGAGAAAGGTAAACACTGGTAACAAGCACTAATTCCACAAACAGTACATCCTTTCCCCATTTCAAAAAGGGTTCAAATAATTAAACACAATCAAATAAGTTTTGAACTGAAAAAATGAGCTAAAAATGCAGAAATCAGGTTTTGTAGAAATAAACAGAAATCCTCTCAAACAGCGTTGCCATCATGACACGCTATAATCATCATACATTTTCTTATCTGTTTAATTTCAACTTAATTATAATTGTTTGTTTTTCACAATTCGTCTAAATATTTTAACATCCATTTAAATCGTTCGAAATATATGTACTATTATTCCCTTCAAAATCATCTCGTGAAATGTGACAAGTTGGCTTACTGTGGTAAACACGAGGACATGATGGCATGCTTACATATAAGCAGCATCAAGCACGGTCGTATACACAGGTCTGGAAACCCTGTTTGTTTTTTATTCTTACATGTCGCAAAGATCAGTATGATTTTTGCATGTCGTCAGATTCGTAGTTCCTCGCTCAGCTACCAGGTGGCGCATGGATTGAAGTTGTCAGGATTTACACGTCATATCGCATAGCCAAAACGGGTATAAGCATATGTGAAGCATGCGTCCCATTAGCGGACATGGCGACTCAGGTTCGAATCCAAGCGCGCGCGTAATTTTTTTACTATACGTTCACTAAATGTATGCGATAACTTGTTTTGCTGCGATGTATATAATACAGAAAAAAAATAAGCGCGTGCTTGGGTTCGAACCCGCATTAGCGACCGTTGTAAACCGAGGCGAAATTGAACTACCTAAGTTATGATCGCCTTGGATACAAGGTTTTAAATTTGTATATCAATTTCAAAGACACATCGACGATTTTAATGCCATATTTCTTTTTCAAATACGCTTTAAAGTTTAAACGCAATTGCGAGACAGGCTGCGGTCAGCTGCGCCGAGCTCGTCTTCGACTGCCGAGCACGTATGAGATGATTTTACTCCCGTCCAAAACGTATCTGATAGAAAAGAAGTAGTCACTTACAAAAACTGGAACCGGAACCGAAACACAGAGCTGAAACCCTTCAAAAATAATTCTATAATCATTGTATATGTATTATAATATATAATGCTATAATTCATATTGGTTCCAACCCCTAGTTAGTAGTGTGGCGTTTCTCTTGTCTAATTTATTGGAATCTTTCAATAATTAGTTCTTAGTTACAGAATAGTTCCAATGTCTTTAGTTGCCGGTTAAGGCGATTGGCACTACTTATTTCAGTTGGCAGTAGTTTAGTTTGTATCTCTATAACCTTTTGAACAACAATCAGCAGTATCAAAATCAAATTGTGGTAATGAAATTTACTTTTATCTAAATTACTGACATAAACCATTCATTAGCGAAATTAAAATGATAATTATTTTAATTAGGTAGAAGGATGGATGTTAAGAAAGACGAGGTCGGCAATGGAAATAAGAAGAGACGGGAGGACAAAGTTAGACGCAGAGATACAAAAGCTCCCGATAATGTATTGAAGGAACTCAACGTAGCATCATTAACGGACCAGCAAAAGTACGACGCTTTGTATTCAAGGTATTCAAATTTGTACGAGGAGTATCGCACTTGCCATTCGTCGCTTAGTCTTTCTGAAAAGAAATGTGTTACGTTGCAAAAGGAGAAGAACCAGTTACAAACGGAACAAAGCAAGCTGGTGTTGGCACGTTCGCGGATGGAAAGTCTGTGCAGGGAATTACAGAGGCAAAACAAACTTGTAAAGGTAACCTTAGTCGATCCCACATTCTCTATCCCAGATGCGGTTCTTGTGTGTCTTTGTTGTTTTAGTGTCAAGCTTGATTAATTAAAGAGTTTTGTAACTAATGAAAAGATGACTTATCACTGTGCACGAATTCTGTGCCTGCAATATTTTTGAAATTGTTTAAATTTGCAAAAAGGTGTAAAAAATCAGGATTTGGTAATGTTAACACATTGGAGTAAGTAGGTACCAAAAAGTGCAAGCTGGGGTTCAAAAACTGTGGTTTTGTGAAGAAAAAGCAGGGTGATACTTAAGGACCAAGTGTCACAGAGTAGGCTCTAAAAAGCTGCTTAACATTTATAACAAGAAAGATTCAAACTATGCTGGATATCAATACAGACTGTAGCAAATTCTTTTATTGTAATTCTGCTGAGCTTTTTCTAATATTAGAAATAGGTAGGTATTTACTAAGGCAGCCAACCGTCGCGTATTCAGCAGAACCATCCCCTAATGACAAAACACAATCCCGCAATATAAAAATTAACATATAAGTCCCGGAATTGTACCAATGCATCCCATAAGACCCGCTTTTTGCTTTTGCATTTGGCAAGTGGGTGTCCCGTCGCATCGCGTTTGCACTTTGCATTACTTTTATTCAAAGCGTTAATGGTGACTGACGACTGACCTGCATAGCGTTTACGTATATAACTTCGTTTTTTATATCGAAATAAAATAAAATCGAAAATGTTGTATAAATAACCTGATTTTGTCTCGCATTGCTATTTTAAAAGTTGGCCGCCTTATATTTGCGCCCCTTGTAAAATTTGACCCAATAAATGCTTTATCTTACAAGGATGAATGGTTTAAATACTTAACTGCGCGCTATCATAAGCTTTTTTGTCATTCAGTATTCCGTTAGTATAGACCTATTTCCTTTCATTCCCTTTCAGCTTCCTTGTGGTTAAATAAAATAGCTTTCAATGCTACATACCATTTCACCTACACAAAAGAATGGTATTACCAAGAAATTTGCACTTAAAGTCATTATAACGGTTTTGAAGAGGTCGATTTTCGGGAATTTATCCTGTGAACGGTGAACCAATTAGTGTACTTTTTTAGGAATGATAAGTGAACCCAAACTAGATATTGGTAAATTTTTTTTTCATGAATTGTAAAGTGATTTTGCAGTTCAGTAATACCATTGTATAGGTCTCCCACCAGATTTTCACTTAAGTACTCGCCGAATCGCAAATATGAATCGGACGCACCGCAACCGAGGCGTTCACTTTGTTTTTATACACGCAAAGGTATAGCAGAAAATACTCCTCCGCGATGGTTTTTGGCTAATTTGTAGAATTTAAAAAAAATCTTAAACGACCTCCTGTTATAAGGGTAAATTCTTCTGAGAACCGCAGTGCCGCCCCCTCGGCCGCCACTCTAATATATTGGGGCTTTTTCACATTTTAAATTTCATTTTAAACTCGAAATTTCTTATTTGAAGTGGAAGTGCCAATTAAAACCTAATTCCTATATGACCCTTCAATGCGTTCATAATTAACAATTACTGTATTTTTTGCAGGAAGAAAACATAGCTAAAATTCGCGAGGAAGAAGAAAGAAGAAAGGAGGTCGCGGCCAAGTTTCAAGTAACCTTAAACGAAGTAATGGGCATGATGCAAGAAACGAACGAAAAAAACATTAAATTAAGGGATACCAATCTAGATATGGCAGTCAAAATTGAATCCGTATGTAAGCAATTTGAGCAGCGCAAAGAGCAGCATTCGAAAATGGAGCAACAAATTGAGTTAGAGAAGCAACTGGCGCAGGCGCAAATATTGAAAGCGCAACTCGAATATAATGCCGGTCAAGAAATGTGGACGCAAGAGCGAGAGATGCTGTTGCACAAAGTTAAAGAGAGCGAGGAAAACTGTAACCAATTACAGCAGACTATAAAGACCTTACAGGAGAATCTAGAATTTTACTCAGGAAAGTACCAAGAGTTCAAGTCATCTATAACCAAAAGTAATCAAGTGTTTGACGATTGTACTAAGCACATTGTTGTGTTAGAGAAAGCGGTAAAAATGTGGAAGCATCGGTCACAGAAACACGCCGAATCCGTGTTGGAATTGTGCGCGAACAAGCAGGTGCAAGAAAAGAAATTGGATCAATTACAAAAGCTCTGTAGGCAATTACAAGCGGACCGTTCTTCTTATTTAAAGTTGCTAAAGTCCAACGGAATACAACCCACTTCTGAGACGATAGTCGACGATCAAATTATCGTACAAGCGACTATGGATCAAATTTCGAAAAATGCGAAGTATTTGAAACAGCTTAAAGACGGTTTAAAAGTATTGGGAGAAGAGCTTAGCAATATTCAGCAGGTCGGTACGGACGATTCTGTGGAAAATGGTATTGACACAGACGTCACGGAGGTAGATGGTGAGGATGAACCCATCGACATTGCGAGTATAGAAGAAGATATTGCGAATAATTCTCTCGATGAGCACAATTCAATTAATACCCTCGAAAGTAATGTTGCTTAAGAGAGTGCGAAGAGACTTTTTTAAGTTCTATCTGCAACGGTGGCAGTGTTGAATCCTCACTTAGTGTTCATCTTACTTTTTATTTTCAGACCTTAGATTTACAAACATAGCTGTAGTTAGTCGAATTAGCTGGTTGTTTTCAGGCCAATTGGTATTGATGTGGAAATTTTAAGTCCTGGCCTTGAGACGCTTTCACAATCACGAGTAAGGTAATGGCCTTGAGAATGTTGTACAAACCATTTCCAGAGGGGCCAAATTTTCTTACTTCAATTTGTTATTAGTAAAGTGTTGCACAGTGTGGGGCCACTTATAATTTAGGCGCCCCCATAACACAATTTATTACTTAGTAAAAATTGCTAGGTTATTGTACACTACAGGAGGATAGGCATTTCCGCCGTGTTCCATACTGTCCATGTTCACATTGGACACCACAAACAGGAGATTATGATTGAAGAATTGTTTGGAGCATCTAAAAGAAACCCAAAATTCCTGTGATATAACCATTTAATTATAAATCAAAAAATCTGTTGTAAATTCAAATGGGAAACTAATATCATTTTATACGATATTCTATAGGCCTGGAACAAGCATTAAATTTGCACAGTTTTATATGTATAAAAATATAACTACAATTTATCTCTCTTCACTTTTGACTTTGTTTTATTTAGTCCACCAACCAGATCCAATTTTGCTGAATTACTCTTTATTCGTATACTACAGGTTTTGGGAATAATGGTGCCTATACAGGGTCATTCTTGACGAGCGTCAGTTAGAAAGATATGGAAAACCTTTGAAAATGAAAATAAACTGATAAGTTCTTTAAGGGTTTTGGCACATGATGAATTGAACTAAAAAATTTTCAAGATGGCGCCCCTACCGGAAGTAGCTATCAAAATTGTTATGTTAAATAGGGATCTATTTTTTCTACATTTTCGGATTCTACCTCGAATTTTGAGTACAACGATACCCAATAGTTGACCCTTTGCTCCAAGGGCTTCGTCGATATTCTAGTTTTTATGTCAAAAATTGAATTTGCAGGGGTAATTTTAAAAATTTATTTCCTTATGGTATGCGTAACCATCTAAAAATGTAAAACTACGTCACTTTTTCAAAGCTCTCAACTTTTTAATTTCCGTAACTCCATTTTTTTAAATGGCACCCCCCATTTTGTTCTTCACCATTGTTTTCCTTTTTCTCAGACCTTTAATTTGATACAAAATGTCAAAAGCTGCTTTAAACGGTTTCCGAGATATTCCATGTTTTAGTTACTTCTTGTGGCAAATTGATAAACTATGTCGCTTGATGTTAGTCTTTTGTTTTTATTATGACAATGTTATGTTTAAACGTCAAATTTTCGCTGCTTGAACTTATACTTCTCGTCAATAATGGCTCGTTTGGGTTACACTTTTTTCCGAAAGATACCCTGACAAGGCGCGACCCACAGAGGCTACAATTCGCAAATTACTACAAAATTGCAGGAATAACGGTATGTTTCAACCACAAGTACAAAAAAGAGCCTGTGGTAGACTCTGGAGAACAAGAAATAATTGTACTGGGATATTTTGCTGCAAATCCAACTGCATCGCTCAATGATATCCGAAGAAAAATTGACATATCAGACACGAGCGTACAAAGAATTCTCAAAAAGCATAAATGGTACCCATATTTGTAAAAAAAGTGTACTGTCTTTACATTATGAACGCAGAATTCAATTTTGTGAGTGGATGTTAGTAAAAATTCAAGAACAAATTAGATTTTTAAGTGATTTGATTCGGTCTGACGAGGCAAAATTCACTAAAAATGGTATGTTGTACAATCGCCAAATCCGGAAGTAACACATGGTGCACCATCAAATAACATGTTTTTTGTTTGTTTGTTTTTTGTGCCATAAAAGGAAATAGAATATTGTGTTACTCATTTTACAATGAAAATTTGAATGCGGAAAGGTATTTGGATATTCTGCAAAATGTCTTAGGCCCCGCGTTCGAAAATATTCCATTAGAAGAATTGGCGAGTGCATTTTACCAACAAGATGGGGCGCCAGCTCATAATTCCAGGGTAATTCCGGATTATCTGGAGCGAACCTTTAATGGTAACTGGATCGGCTATTTAGGCCCTTATTCATGGCCCGCGCGTTCACCCGATCTTACTGCCCTAGACTTTTTTCTTTGGGGAACTATCAAAGATATGGTTTATGCTACTCCACCAACAACAAAAGCTGATATGGAAAGACGAGTTAGAGATGCTTTCAATTCATTAACACCTCAACAGATCCATAGGGCAACTCATGGAAATGTCTTAAAAAGGCTAGAAACATGTTTAAACCAAGAGGGAGGAATAATTTAACACATCTTAAAACGTCAAATGTAGTAGATATTCGTTACGTTACTTTTATTTGATATCTTTTCAATTGTTGAGTTTCTTCATTAAATTCGTAAATTAAAACTTTATTAAAAATTTCGTGAATTTTAATTTGAACGATTCTTCCATGTGTGGTTTTGTTTTCTCATATGACTCTTTGGATATTATCAATTTAAAATAAACGGTTAACTATGGGGTACCGTTGTACTCCAAATTCGAGGTAGAATCCGAAAATGTAAAAAAATAGGAGGCCCCTATTTAAAATAACAAAGTTGATGACTACTTCCGGCATTTCCGGAAGTGACGCCATCTTTAAAATATTTTAGTTCAATTCATCATATGCTAAAACCCTGAAAGAACTTATCAGTTTATTTTCATTTTCAACGGTTTTCCATATCTTTCTAACTGACGCCCGTCAAGAATGACCCTGTATATATGTTACATTTAAAGGTGCAGAAATTTGAGACAGTTGCTTTCAATTTGCAGTTTCAGAGTAGTCAATAATTTTTTCTAAATAAATTGATATGTGTAAGTATGTATATGTCTTTTAAAGACATTCCAACCCTTTGTGAGTACTCTTTTTCGACACTGTTCTGGAGAACTTTGCTTAAAGTATCATGTCAGTCATGTTACATTAAGCAAAGTTCATGTCTCTTAATATAACCAATATCATTGTTTAAATAAAGCATTTAAACAATTGCCAATATCCATTTGGCGAGGCGCGAAAAAGGAACGGCAATTAGATAAAATGTGAAAAACTCAACAGCTTTGTGTTGCGATGAAGGCATTATTTTTACCTTTAATCTCTATGTTAATCTTGTGCATCCTTGTTATAAAGGTGATTTTGTTACACAATTTGATTGATCAGCATCAAAGTTCAAAGAAGGTACTTATAGAAAAGAGGTGGGAAGAAAAACTAATCACTTCATAAAATTAGTTACAGAACCCGTCGTGACTTGAACGGCGACACAGCTGCCTTAGGCCCAACAGCCCCGTTTGTACCTTATTTTTCCTATTTAAAGCAGGACACCACTTTCACAACTATCGTACTCCCATCTCTATCAATTTCAAACGTAACGCCAATAAGGAGCACTTGAGGTGTCCCCTCCTCCATACCAAAATTACGCGCCAAAGGAACGTGCAGCTGCCTCTTCGTTTTCCGCGCTAACGCCGATAAAAAACATTTAAACAAGAAACTAATCCATTCATAAATCATAACAAATCTAAAATGGACAAATATACATTAAAATTACAAATGACGTGCTTATTTGTAATAAATTTATACTAAATTAAAACATTCATACGTACAGGATGGCCCGTCCTTATCTTTGGCATTAGTCCAACCTAAAAAACGTCCTTCTGACGTTTACCAACAATACATAAGATAATAACATGCCACTGCAAAATATTCATACAAAACATGTTTTTTTTTGGAAAGGGCTGTAATGATCCTCGGGCTCCCAGCGCATCTGGCACTGAAAATGTTGACTTACCCTATACCTTACCTACAGTTGGCAACTCTGGGAAAAACTTTGAGCAGTCACCTCTACTTTTTAGCGCATTTCCACAAAAACAAAAGAAAAGTGCGCTATTGTGGCCGCTTTGTCCGTCCGTTCGTCCGTCCGCTCGTTCGTTGAGACGCTACTAGTTCTTTATCTTAAGAGCTATTGTTCTACCTTTTTCGCTATTTGGTTGGTTATGGTGTCGTGGCTTGCACCAAAGAAGGAATTTTTTCTGCGCGTATTACTAAAAAAGTTTTTGTAAAAAAACCAAAAAAACCGTTTTTTACATATGTTCCATAATTTTACACTTTTGCCGTTTATTAACGATCCTAGAGATCGTTTATAATTTTGTATTGCTGTCTGTCGTCTGTCTGTTGGTCTGCCCGTCTGTTCCTTTGTCTATCTGTCCTCTATCTGTCCGTGTGAACGATAACTTTGTTTAGAAATGTCCGATCGCTTTGATATCTCCATCAATTATGAACTGAATTGCATGAAATTCCATATGGGCATAGCTTTAGCCATATAATACGCAATGGCAAACGTTGAGTCGAATCGATTCAAAATTCACAGTGCCCTTTTCGCATCTCGACCATTTATAAACCGCATTGCAAACTTTATTTTATTTATAAAAGTATTTGAATGAAATTTGATACATATAGGCACTTGGAATAAAGGAAAATCAAACGCCAGTTTCAAAGTTTGGTTTTGCGCATGGGCAGTGCCAACTTTTTTATTTATGGAAGCATTTAAATGAAATTTGATACATAAGGCACTTGGAATAGAGGAAAATCTAACGCTAGTTTCAAAATTTGTTTGTGCACATGCGCAGTGCCAACTTTTTTATTTATGGAAGAATTTAAACGAAAAACGAAACGAAATTTCGAAATCGGGCCAAATATGAAAAGAGATTTCCCCCGGGCCACGTAACTTTTTTTGTTAATTTGAAGCAAACAGATTTTGTTACATAAATAGCATCCAAACTCTTAGTCACCACGACAATTTAACAAAAATGTTGTACTGACTAGGAGTTTTGATTCTATTTAATACATTTACAACCACATAATAGATGGATTTATTAACGAGCTCCTAGTTTATGATTTAGGACTTTCTGTCCGCTCGTCTGTATACATGATGACTCGCGAACGATTTCGAATTTTCCAATGATGTTTTCAGTATTATGTTTATTATCATCCGAGGAAGAACTGATTAAATTTTCAATGATCCAGGAGCTCGTTTGAAGTATTTAGTTATCTACATACCTGACAATTAAAAAAAAATTTTACATGAAAACAAAATCGACCATGAATTGGGATGTTCTTACTTAGAAGGAATGCTGATTATTTTCATTCTTTTGGAATTTGTATTTTAGTTAAATGAGAATGCTTATTTCTTTAAACCAAACCTCTGTGGCCGTTTGATAGCGGAAAGCTGTTCGCCTATGATTACAGCATTTTTCTTGAAACGGGTTCAAATTTTTAATATATTATTGTGTTTTTATCACCTTTAAATGAGTTCAATTTTGGTTAGCTTTAAAGTGTATTTTTTGTGTAAAAATTTTTGTTTTTCATTGAAGTTTAAAAAGGGAAGGAGTATGGTAGAAGGAAACGTGGCCACGATATAGAATTTAAATGTTCAATACTCGCCATAAACGTAACCAATTGGATCGATTTTGATTTTGTTCAATGTCATTTAATAATAAATTTGAATTTGTCTACAGGAAAACTGAGCGCCCAAGTTTTGATTTTTAGATTTAAAGAAAAATGGCCAAACTTCCGTAAGGTAAGGGCATTAGAATTTGTGCAAAAATCAAACAGTTTTCGCAAGGGGGGCGGAGGAACTCGGGGGAGGCGAATGGACTATTGCCATTCGTACTTCTTACATAATTCCACTTTCAAGTGAACACCCTGTGTAGCGTAAGAGTGGCATTCGTTTTGTGCTTTGTGCTTTTCTTTTTCCGATGCACGTTATATGCGATTCACTTTATTTGTAACAAAAGAATTTTGTATTGTTCATTTGGCAGAACACCTTTAATAAAAGTCAAGAAAGTACATAAAAGCACTTAATTATAAATAATGCCACGAGCAGATAAATAAATGTTTCTTGTAATTCGTAATTCAGGTTGAATTATTGTAGGTACTTCTTATGCACAAACAAATGTTTCCGCCACAATGCCGCATAAAAGATCGATCACATTGTATACTATTGAGAAATCTGAGCGCAGTTGTATGGCCCTGAACAATTTTGATTTTATTAATGATTATAGTAAAGCAAGTTGACTTTATTCTGATAAGAGAAACATGCTGAACTTTCTTTAGTGTCAAAAACGAATGCTTAATAACAGGTTGTGATAAATTATGCTTTGGTGGAAGGTGATTTATGGGTTATTTGTAAGATCTTAAGGATTTTTTTTTGTAAACGACATATTCGGCTTCTGTCTAATTACAGGGTTTTACAACAGTAACCCAAATTTGTCTGTGTAAAGCTCATAATGGAAAAGACCAGGCGCCTAATTACATCACTCGTCTCAAAAAACGCACTGGAAGAGATATAAAACGGTTTATCGATGAGAAGACGACGGAAAAGGGTGGGTTGTTTTATTGTGTGCTTTAATAGATCGAGTTTTTTTAGGTTTAGAAATTAATATTAAATTCAACCCCGTACAATATTCTGCGTTATCCAGTGACCATATTAACGTGGCATTCATTTCAATGTTTGGGAAGAATGATGTTATTGCCGGAAATAGGACGTATAATATCGTTTTCAAAAACAGTACCTTCGTTTTGGAACCAAGTACCCCACATTTCTTGACAATGCAGCCCGAAATGGATTTTGTGAGGGTACGTTAGTATATGTAATAAATATGCAACTCTCAAAATAATTATTGCAGTCAATTGAATATAACCACTTTCGGTTACTTTACGCTGCTCACAATAGTTACTCTTGTATTTATATGAAAAGTAATAGCACCAACTTACCATGGATTATAGTGCAGACAATAGCAAGCGAGGGTAAAGTTGCAGATGCCCAATTTTTCCAAAATGGCAAACATCTTTATTTGGTTATCGTTAACGATGAAAACCATTTACCGACGTATTCTAAGTAAGTTTGACGAATCTTCTAAATTTTCTTTTTATTTGAGCCGCTCAACCAAATGCATTTTTGTACCTAATAATGTAAACTACAAAACAATCATTCTCAGTTTAAAAATTGGCACCTTGTAATGTAATGTATAATGACATATAACTGCATAGGTATGTAATAGTGCATCCGCTCCCAGTTTTAAAATTAGGAAATTTTCAACTAAATCCGCTCTTACATGCCATTGTCTGCTGTAAGGGTTGCGTTGAATGATGGTAAGAGTCGATAAGCTAGCTCATAGCTCCACATCAAAATATATCCCGTCCCATCACCAATTTAAAAATTAGAAAATTTTTAATAAAACTTCTCACATGACAATCGTGTGTTTTTTGATCAGTTGTTCAATTTTGAGGGGGTCCAGAAGCTACCGCATAAGTGATAGATAAAAATGTATCATCTACTTGTTCCCATTAAAAGTCACCCATTATGATCCAATATTTTTGATCCGTTGCCAAATTTGGTTTAGTTAGAGGGTTTTCAAGCCACTATAAATATGAATCGGGTTTAAAATCACGATAATTATCTATTGCAAGGGTAGTAACTTTTGTGGACCATCAAATATTTTTGGTTAGTCGATTATTTAGAGTGTTCACAAGTATACAGGGTGAGTAAACTTTCGCAGGCGGTCTAAAGCACTCAAATGGTCGAGGTTAAAAAAGTATTAAATAAGCCTTATAAGCCAAAAATATTTATAGGTATACATGGTGTTTCATAAATATCGACATAATTTTTGTTTAATGGAACACCCTATTTATTTATGCATTTTGTGTCTTGCCATCTTTTCGTAATGTTGAACACTTTTCGGATGTTACATTGTAGAGTCGTCCAAAAAATGTTTTTGTAGCTTTTTTTTGCATTTAAAAAAGAAGGTATGTAGCGAAGTTACCTAGTGTTCTTCACAGTGGTCACAAAGTCATTAAGGGCCTAATCAGAGATTCACAAATTTAGCGAACTTCAGTCCGTAATACCCAAACACCCTATATTTCTTTAATGCAGACATGTTCCAAATGAACAAGTATGTTGGCAAATTAAACTGCTCGTTGAAAATAAATTTTGAGAGATGGCCTACTACTCCAAATTAGGGACGAACTGGGCTTCAGGTTTCTGGAAATTTAAAGTTAAACGTTTGTTTATTCACTCTGAAGAAAAAAAATCACGAGGAATCCGGCCCATTGCAGTTGGGAATTTGACACCTTGTGTAAAAAATGGTTATCTGGAGAATGACTCGTGCTCTTCAATTTGGTGCAGGGGTCAAGGGTGGAGAAGAGGCAGGGGCTCAGACGGCTTCCAGATACTTTTCATCTTTTCAGATTATAAACATGTCTTCCAGGCTGTATAAAGTAGGATCCTCAATCTCCATTCCACGGATGAATTTCTCTTTGAGAGTTGCTTCTACTTGGAAGCATGGGAAAAATCTGGTTGAGTACGATGGGGTACTAAAAGTTTCCCTTGAAACCTTACTCAACTGTAAACTGAGTGAAGGTTCTTGGGTTCAAGACCTTAAATAAATCTACTTTTTATAGTTTCATTTTAGTCAGAACCCTAGTTAACTAAGCAAACAGTTTGTTTACGTTAAAGAACAGGAAGTTACTAAATGTACTACCATTGAATAATAAATCTGAATAGAAGGTCAGTGAGATAGGAGAAAAGGTGGCCAGTATTCTTTATCTAGAATGTGCTGGTATCGTACGGCAAGTAACAAAACGTGATTAAAGGAAACTCTTCAACATTTTTTAATTCATACAATATAGCCGAGATACTCACTTCAAAATGAGTAGAGAGGTGAGAGAAAATGTTTTGACTACGGTGACATCATGCCATTGATAAACTTCCGCACGTCGGTAACTGGATACCTTTGATACCACGATCGTCTAAATATAGTTTTCAGATGAATATCCGACTTAATTTTTTAACAAGTTATAAGTTCTTAATTCAATAATAATAACAGTGTTGTTGCAGAACGTAAAAAGTCAATTATTGGATACAAGATAATTAGACAACAAAATATGCTATGATAATATGATAAAGGGTCCGTTTCACTTAGCCAAAAATGAACTAACTTTTTTTACGTATTGTGCCTCAATAATCATTTGTGCTCAATAGTGCATTTATTCGCACCGTTTGTGCCTTTTTGGTTTTGGAGATAATAGGACAAATCAAATGGGGGCAACTTAAATCGTTATTTTTTTGTTATTTGTGACATTTTCAACTAACTACATACGAAATTAGATCATTCACTATATAGTAGTAGGCGAGAGACACTTTGCCCCAAGGCCCATTCTCCAAACGAGTATCTATAACTTTTGTTTGAAAAGTTATTTTAAAATTTTGTTCCTTAACTCATCCAGTATGTACACAACCAATTTCGTGGAATTCTCTCCATTATCGTTGTCCGGCCAAGAATTGCAGTGGAACCTTTTTTTCGAATTTTCAAAAACTAATTCCAGATTCGTGATTTTTATGTTCAAAAACCGCCAGGCACCAAATTTCGTCGAAGCAGGGGTGCGCCCTTCCGTGATAGGAATTTTGAAAATTTTTTTCAAAATCGGAAAGGGCATACCCGAAAACCTAATTAAAAACGTGTCACTCATCTTTGTAACTGTTGTGTAGTGATTGTTTCAGGTACGGTGAAAATTTTTTTGCGGTTTTAGGTCACTAAGTAGGTCTATTTTAAGAATCCGCCCAAAAATGTCTGCAAAAAATACAAAAATTAAATTTTTTAAAAATATGGGCATGTAGCACATCGATTTTAGGGTTTTGAAGTTTTCTGAATTTAAATTTTTAGTTAAAAATGTTTTTGGGGGCATTTTGGAGGAGTGGGGGGTGTTTTTAAGGGGTGGGTTTTTATATTTTTCAATATTAACGTGTCATACATCGATTTATATGTTTTTATGGATAAGGATCCCGAATTCCATATCAAAATGGAGGTACAGCAAGTTATTCAATGTTAAAAAAGTAGAACGACGCCGACAGACGGCCCGAAAATAACATAAAACGCGCGGTACGCCTCGCCCGCGCTGCACGACATCATTTTAATAAAAAGATAATAATTTTGACGCTATCTTGTATATCTTTCTAGGATTTATTCAAAAATCATACTTTGACATCAAAATTGTAATCTCCACCCCAAGAAACCTATAAAAAGACGTATTGCACTTGTTATAATTATTATCTTTTTATTAAAATGATGTCGTGCAGCGAGGCGTACCGTGCGTTTTATGTTATTTTCGGGCCGTCTGTCGGCGTCGTTCTACTTTTTTAACATTGAATTTGCTGTACCTCCATTTTGATATGGAATTCGGGATCCTTATCCATAAAAACATATAAGTCGATGTACGACAAGTTAATATTGAAAAAATATAAAAACCAACCCCTTAAAAACACCACCCCAATCCGCCAAAACGCCCCCAAAAATATTTTTAACTAAAAATTTAAATTCAGAAGGCTTAAAAACCCTAAAATCGATGTGTTATATGCCCATAGTTTTTAAAACTTTAATTTTTCTATCTTGAATTTCACAAAATGCTCAAGGGTGTCAAGGTGGCATTCTCAAAGTAGACATCCTTACGAACAAAAAACCGTCAAAAAACCTTCACCGTACCTCACTTCCAGGTTAAGCCAAAAATCCCAGTTTGGCATCCAGACTATTAGGGAAGCGATTGAAGAATGAAAGGACACGTCACGGAGAACGGCAGCGACCGCGCGGTACGGCAATTATAGTGCTGTCGCTTGTTTACTTACATGTTTTCTATAATTATGTTTGTGTGCCAATTAATATAGTTTGCGTTGAGCAGTTTGTTGCTGCCCTTTCTTCCAGTAAGACAACACAAAAGTAACTCTGGTGATTGCTGAGAAAAAAATTAAAGAACTCCAAATTTCACCACTTCTTTGGGAGTGGCTCCCAAACGAAACACGTTTGACCCTCGGTTTATTTGAAAAAAAGTGCTTATCTTGAACCCCTCGGCCCTCTACCACCCAATTTTCACCCTGTATAACCAACTTTAAATGACATCCTTACCTGTCCATGTCTGTATATATTAGAAGTTTTAGTTTTTGTTAAGATGAATTCAGATATTTTCAATCGTCTGAACGTTAATCATCAATACAACACAAGGTATGGTCATAAGCTGCAGTATGAAAGACATAATCTGAAAAAGTATAAACAAGTATAAATTGTGCACAACTCTTGTACAGATAAAGCGCATTTTTTTATCCGAAATAGCTTTTGTTTTGACATCACTAATTGATATATTTCTTGCAGACGTCTCAATCGACCTTTGTGAGTAACACGAACTTATAAATTAAGATGGACTGTTAATGCTGAATTGACAAATGACACCTACACGGGGGCCGCCATGATGTGCACTCACATGGCGCGAAATTCAAATCAACTAATAAACAAGCATTAACCCAACATTAACCTCACATTTTCTAAATAAATTACTGTGACACATGTCATTTTCCAAGGCTGCAATAGTCTCAAAACTTGAGCACTAGGAAAATTCCCCTAGAAAATAACTAGAATGTGCACATTATGGCGGCGCCCATGCTAGGGCCATTTCTACCTCTATGCAACTGTTTGATCAGCGGTCCATCTTAATTTATAAGCTCGTGTGAGTACGCTCTTCCGACAATCCGATCTTGAGGTATAAGGGAATATACCTGATCACGATAAGAGGTTGAGGAGGAGGGCTATGGTTGGTAGAAATTAATTCCTTTCGTTGAGACTCTTTTCATTAGAGTATCATGATGAAGGATAAAACCAGTTCCACCCCCCCCCACCCTCTGATCTCGAAAATGAGTCGCCCGGAAAAGCTATAGTTTGTACAAATCAGTTCCTTTGATGAGACCTAAGCGTTCACTTGGTCCCAGGCTTAGCCCCCATTTGATTTTTCCTCTTATCTCCGAAACCAAAAAGGCACAAACGATGAGTATGAAAGCACGATTAAACACAATCGAAGTACTACGCAATACCGTCGATGAACTATCAAAAAGTTTAATTTTTGGGAGGGCTAAGCGTTCATTTAGCCCCCATTTGATTTTTTCGATTATCTCCAAAACCAAAAAAGCACAAACGGTGCGCATAAATGCACAATTGAGGCACAATACATAAAAAAAATTGGTTCATTTTTGGGCTAATGGGGGGCTAAGTGAACGGACCCTATGATAAATGTATGTTCTCTTGATTTATTTTTTGACGGTAAAAAACATTCCATTGAATGCGATTGACGACTGCGTCTTTTCTCTCTAAATTCATTATAGCTTTGAAATTTCTTATTCGATCCGTAAACTCGAGAACTTAAGCCGTTCTCTGCATACGACTAGGAAAGCGCTTCAATAGAAATTATATGGGTCGAATAGCGTGTCTAGGTGTGGGACTTAGTATAACATTTTGAGTAAATTGGATTCTATACCGTGTTGTTACGTTGTTAGGTGCCGATGTAAAGATAAAGGACACATCTATGCCTCTATTGTAACAGATTTTTGATTTAATACTCGAATTTTGCATAAATAATTGTAGAAGTACTTGATATTTATGGTATTTTCAGGTGCCGTAATTATTAATATTTAAAAAATATCAAAAATATGTTACAAGAGAGACGTAGAAAAAGGTTTAGAAGCAAACGTGCCGGCATGGCGTTTTCGAGTCTTCGTTTCGTAAAAGTGCAATACAATTTCTTTCATAAAGCCGATTTAAAAAACCTTTCATTTCACATCATAATAGATTATATTGCACTTCTCTCATTTGAATTTTAAAGTTGTTGTTTAAAGTAGTACTTAATTCCAAATTTTGTCTCAAAAACATGTTATTTGTGCATTTATATACGGAAACAGCAATTAAACAATATCTGTAAATGCTCGCACAACTGAGACTGACAGTATATTGCATATTCTGAAATATCCCAAAACATTGTCTATAGGTACAATAATAGTAAAGTTTAATTTCGATCTTAAAGTCTACATTCCTAAGAGGTGTGCAAATAATAACATGTATTACGTAAGCACAAGTTTGTAAATACAGAGATAATATTGCAATACGATCTTCACCTGCTGTTATAACTCCCACGCAGTCTACGAGATAAGTACGCGAAAGTAGCGTCATCTAAAGAAATCTAATCACTTTGATTCAGTTGAGTAGGTGGTATAAAACCTCGATTAAAATTTAGTTACTTTTGATAGTTATAAATTCAATGCTTTTAATAAGCGGAGTTTGTCCCAGAGGGCAACCTACGGAGAAACTCCGTTAAAGTGGACCCTTCAAAAAGCATTGCGTTGTCTTTCTATTCAGATTTATTATTCAATGGTACTACAGAAAAAATGTAAGTATTGTAAAACAGCGTATAATTGCAAATTTAGAAACTATTACGATAAATCCGAACAGTAGTGGCAGTTTAAACCCGTCATTTAATGTTTTTTTTGTGACAGTCATGTACGAGGGATCATTTACGATTTTGTCTCTGTTTTTTCGCGCATGTTTCGAATCAGTTTGTACGCTTGTCTGACGCAAACTAAGTATATTTTGCGATTGGTCGAAGATTAAGCATATGCCACCGTAGTCCCTTAGATCAAAAACTCGAGTCTACTAAGGTTGTACTGAACCATTCGTTTTAGAGTTTACAAATGGAGCGGAACACATTTCGATGAAATCGACAAATTTATAAGCAGAGCACCAAGCAAGATACTATCTTTTCCGAACCAAGCCGATGAACTAATTATAGTTGTAGAGAATAATTCCTTTGAACAAAAGGTATGTGCTCACAACGTGTTTAGTGATATTTAGTCCATTCTTTCAGCACAATGTTATGGTTTATAAATTCCAAGATAATCACATAATTAAACATCAATTAATTTCGGCGGTCCATTACAGTTACGTAGTTCTATACACTTTTCAAAAGCAGAAATATCTGGCAATATTGCAACAAAGTGGGAACTCTGTATTATACGTGTGGATTGGTAAATTAAACAAAGCAGTTTTCTAAGTTGGTGAAACAAAGTTCTTTTTAGGGGACGAATTTATCGAAACTTCACTGTTCAGTAATTTTGAACATATTCGTAAAGTATTTTCGATTTGCCTTTCGGACATCCCTTTAATTTTCATAGTGCAAAAGGTCCATTACGCTTATTTTTTTCGTAGGTAGGTACTAATTTTTTTTCTTTAGGATAAGCTAACTGTATTGTCCCATACGTCAAACAATCTGAGACTATTGGCAGATGTAAATTTGAGCAAAAGGCTTAGGCAAGTTTTGGACATTACCGTCGTTGTTACAGAGTCTAATTTCGCTTTGTTGGTATTTGCGCGAACGCAAGACAGTGGAATGGATTACATAATGATACCATTCACTCTACCTATCACAGAAAAGGGTATGGCACTTTAAGTAATTCCAAAACATTAGGTTCTTTTTATTTCAGAACAAAAGGCCGAACTGAATGAAATCATTTTGTGCATGTTAAATCTGGAAAAGGCGGTCCAAGTCTACAAGCCTATAAATAAAACGATTTTGCACACTGAGGAACTGCGACCACCAGATGATGTTATACTTTCTTCTGCGTCTCATTCTAAATTAGACAATGTGACCACCCCTATAATTTATCACAACAGTGTAAGTAAATATATCGATATAACGGGGTCTTAAAGTAAACATTTTTATTTTAATATCTTCTATTTATGCTTATTTGTTTTGCATGGTGTCACTCAAAAATGAACAGTTTTCAGTGACTCTAATTTATAAAGGATAATTTACGGCTTAGAAACTATTACGTTAAATACGAACAATAGTGGAAGTTTTAAATACACAACAAAATTGGGCGAACTTAATAAAGTTGCATTGAGAAATAGAGGATATCGTTTCGAATACGGATAACAGCGTAAAATACCGGAAGCGCGAAATTAAACTCATCATTGAAGGAATTTTTAATGTTGTATTATTTTCGGCGGTCGATTGTGCGCAAGTAATATGTTTTTATATGACATTGATATTTACCGTCGGATTTTGAATAATCGTATGGGTACTTCAAAATCAAAGGAATCATTCATTATACGAGACCCAGCCGTTTGTATCGAAACTCCAACAAACCAGCTCCAAATAATACTCGATATTGTTATTATGCACTGGAATAAAACGCCAATGTTCCGCTGTGTTAATATTAAAATGTTGCCCAATTAACTAAGCTTTATGGTGTGAGTAATTGCACCAATTAATTGTTTTTGAATGTCCTGCCAAATGACGTCGTGCACCAAATATTATTGCGCAAATGTTTCACACAACCTCGATAAACAGCTTTTAAGTGAACAAAGACAAAATTTCTGTTTATCACAATGAGTTTTTTAATTCAGTCGTCTTTTGTTGAACATACAGATGTTATTATCGCCTTTAATTTCCAGACATACTTTTGTTTCTGTTCGCTATAAAGCGATATATGTCTAAATCTTTCTGTGCTGACCAAAATATAAATTCGAAAAATTACTTTTAAAAAACCAGCTACAAATGTGAAAACGGCGTACCATAGAATACCGAATGATACCTTGCAACCATTGTACTCAGATATAAAGATTTTATGGAACACGACCTGATCTCCAAGGTCATGATTTCCATAATGGCGACCATGGTGATATTGCGAGTTCTGTTTCAATGGCTTTCTATTAGTCCAGGTGTAAGATTAATTGGAACGATGAAATCATTACTCACCACTCGTGACAAAAAACTTAATTATAACAGAGAAAGACCAAAGAAACAGAATTTCTGGTAGTTTATCATTGTTATTATGTTCCTTAGGTTATGGATTTAAGGATAAAAATTGAGGAACTCACGAGAAGGCTGAACTCATTTCGTGAAAAATTAAATGCAGTTTCCCTCGGCCAAGACAGGGTACGTATAATTTTTTTTTGAACCCTTTTGTGTAGTATTCCCTAATTCGATTATTAATAATGGGTAATGTGGGTAGGAGCTTATTGGGTTTACTGTCCTTATGTAGTCATGCACTTAGCCATCGACCTGATAAGTTATAAATTTAAGGTTCTTTTTTGCAAAATTGTGGATTATTTTGTATTTTTCAAAAATGTTACCACTTCGGTGTTTTGGAAGGGAGTAAAATCTTCTCATAAGTAAATAAAATGAATTTAATATTATTATTAATTATACGTATTAGCTTGTCGCTTTATAAGCTATATTTAATATTCTTTTCGATTATGATGACGCGTGTTCGAATCCCTCGAATGCGCGCTTTTTTTCTAGAGTAGATCGCGAGTCGCGACAAAAAAGGGTCGAAGGATTATGAGAGAGAATGAAGTTACTTCTGGCCGGCCGTGCCACTCTCGAATTTTTTACTTATATCGTTACTCTTGTAGAATATCTACGGCAAGCTCACCATAAAAGGTCAACTTCGCGCTCGAAATGTTACCATTACCCATATGAAATCAAAATCTATAAATAGCGTGGAATGGGAACCACGCAATTGGCTGTCCTATTCGAGGAACCAAACGATCAACAGCATAGCTACCGTAGAAGATTTGCAAGTCGAAACGTTGACACTATGGAGCTCCGCAGACATATTGAAGGGTGATATAGACTTCATAAATTAAAAGGTAGAGTGGTGTATTTTCAGGCGCATTTTTGCGTGGTGGGAATCAGATCATTTCAAGTAAAGCAACATTCAACTCTGTAAGGGCGAACAATATTTATACAGGGAAGATCAACGAGATTGAGTTTGAGAACGTCTACCTGCGTAACAACCCGAGCGTGATTCGAGGCGTCAAAAGCTTTGATAACGTAAATGCTGAGGATACCAAAATATCATACTTAAATAAAGTAAGTATTTTAACGAGAGGCCTCCTTTATTTGCTACTTTTTACAGGGAAATGCTACCGAAAAATTTGTACAGCTTACAAATTCAGAATCTAAAAATTATTTATTTACAAAAAGTATGTTTGTAAAGAATTTTAATTTTGAAGAAATAAATGGGATGCACTGGAACACTTTCAAAGATTCAGTGTTTCGTGTTGGTTCCACAAGTCGAATTACAGGTAACATGTTTATCCTATCCTCGTTATACAAAAAAATATTTTAGGCGATTTGACGTTTCCAACAATAAAATGTAATAGCTTATTTGTGAAAAAACTGGGAGCGGTCGACTCCACTAATTTGTTTACAACATCCACTCCACAAAATATTACTTCAATTATACGGTGGAATACGGTACTTGCTGAAAATGTTAACTTGGATCAAATTAATCATATTAAATTTTCTAATATGGCCACAGCAAATAAAAGGAATATTATTAAGGGTAGGTGAATGAATTTGAACTTTTGCGATTTATTTTTATTATACTTTTGGGTGCATTTTAAGAATATAACATTTTTTTCAAACGCTTTGGCATTTGAAATATCAACATCAAAGTTTTTGGCACCATTTCTGAAACGTAGAACAGTAGTAGGTAGTAGGAAAATACATAAGCTCTTTCTTGAGCTTTGCAAGTGTTTGTGATCTCTATTATTTCCGTTCGTACTCTACACGTTTTTTTTAAACAAATATTTTAATCACCCAAAATTTACTGGGTTCATAAAAACACGTGACAAACGTTTTGAAATAATTACAGGTACCTTAAATCTAAAATTACACTCTAACTTTGTTGAGGTGGCAGATCGCGAAATAGAGAAGTCAAAAATAACTTTATTGAAAGTAATACTGAAAAGGTGATTATTGTTATCAGTTTATGCGATTTCCTCACATCTTTGAATCTTTGATAAACCAACGCGATATCCCTTAACCCCCACTTGAACTTTTCATAACTGTGGTAAATTAAACACGTATCAATGTGAACAAACTGCTATCATTTATTGTTTTATCCAAACCCATTAACGTTTGAAATAAAACCTAACAAATAAACTCTTAAGATAATGTAATTGTACACAAAGAAAACATCTGCAAATTTTTATCACGTAAACGTCTTATCAATTATATAAATGTAATAATTTCGCATATCTAATATTGGTCAGCATTTAATTAAACAAAACGTATCATCAGTGGCGTAATCAGTTTTAGTGGTAGCGTGAGCTACATAAGTGTAGTAAAATAAGTCGATTTATTTACAATACGTACACGTGGCATACGACGAAGTCGAAATGCACGTGGCAAGCGCTGACGTACTGCGCTGTCCCTCGATTGTGCTCGGAGGCGGGTCCTCTGGCCGTGGAGCGAGCTGGCAAGGCGATGTGTTCTTGATGCGAGTGGCTTTTACTGAAGGGAGCCAACGTGTTGCATTCCTCCGACACCCCACGAGATACCGGAGGTGGGCTGCTCAGGGTTTCCTGGCCCTCTTCAGTCAGAGAACGGGAATGTAAGGATTGGCAAAATTAACGATGGGAACGCAAGGAACGCAGTTAGGGTGCTGAGAGGGACGAGGACTGCTCCAGCATTCGCCTCGTAGATTTCAACATAGTGCTAGCATTGTGCGAAACTACGTACGTCTGAGGAAAACCCTCTGACAAAACTCCGCCAGAGCAGTCGGCAGCGGAATTCGAACCCACAATCTCTCGAATATCAGTCGGCAACGCAATCACTGCGCCACCGGCTCCGTTTCGCCTTGTACTCACGCCGTCCAATCGGAAGAGAGCTAAAATCACTCTACGTCGAGGGAGTGCACGGCACGGTCACTACACCAGTAATTGTCATAGACATAAAAAAATTAGTATTAGCTCTATTTTAAAAATACGCTAAAAATCATGCTTTGTAGTTCAATGGTAGAGCATTGGGCTATAAATCCGGAGGTCGGGTATTCGAACCTGGGTTGAGGTGAATTTTTCATCAGTGGCAGAGATGGGAATTACCTTAGACCAGTTTCGAGCATTCTGCCGACTACTCCGAATTAGGTTTTCCTGCAGTTTTCCTAATTTGTAAGGTAATGGAACAACTTAAGACCTTCTGCAAAGGCACCTCTAATTATGCCCAGAACAAGAGAGGGATAATAAATAAATAAAAAATAAATAAAAAAGCAGACCTGCAAAGGGACCATTCACAGATTAGAGGATAAGGAGGCGAATGTACCCTCTATATTTAGGGGTAAAATCGCAACTTCTACAATTAGCTTTGTAACACGCAGATTCAGTAGAGGCGAACAAATGAACTAAGAATATGAATTTAAAAGTGTAGGAGTAATAAAGTGCGAAATTTAAAAACGAACTAACGAACAGGCAGACAGAGAAGTTGGCCGGAGGGCGGTTAGAGTCTGGGAACCTGTGGGATACGAAGTATTTCTTTAGATGGATGGAGTTTGGAATTATTTGTCTAATAATAAGCCTTTATGATTTTTTTTAATTTTGTATTTTTCAATATGGCTTTATTTTTGAGTTTTGAGAAGTTTCAGTCTAGACCCACTGTCGCCAATTTTGCCATACGCAAAACCTTTGCACATTACCTCTATTTCTAGTTTTATACCCCCCCCCCTCCTTCCCCCCACCCACCATGGATTTACTTAGATGTATCATTTTTGTTTCTACAGGTCCAGTTGCAATTGGCGAACTAAGAGTCGACAGGACGTTGACCATGCACCACAATAACTCGGACCTGAGTGCGGAGGAGCACGTAATAGGTACAAGAGAATCCGATCTACTTTTAAAGCATCGCCAGCCCGTGAAAATTAAAGGAAATTTACACGTACCCAATTTGTCAATTTTTCCAAAAACTGAAGTATTTGTCAATTTTCAACAATTCAAGGAAGACATATTAAATAGTTACTGGTCGAAAACCAAATTTCAGGTAACAGACGAATTTCCACAAACTTTTAGTGATTTTCGTGTGTAGGTCATTCCGACATTTGTTGAAGCGCAACAGGGGATTACAGTACCGGATTTGACAACTAACGAATTAAATAACATTCACGTCAGTAGCTACCTTACAAACGACTTGGAAGATAAGCTTCCGATTAATTGGGTGTTTGAAAATATTACCGTTCTTGGAAATATTAGAACAAATCCATCTACAAAGCACACCCCAAATCTTCAACAGCTTCAGCGAGATGCCGTCAAAATGAATGGGTGGTAAACATATCAACTTCGGATTCTGTTGATGTACCTAACGTTTTTTGAAGGTTCAACATCAGCGGCCAGAAAGTGATGCAAGGTCGACTACGTATAAAAAATTTGGTTACCGATGTGCTTGATGATGTCAAAGTCGACGACATTTGGAATTTGAAAACTAATCCAAGTTCTATAGGTAAAGACCCTTTTGGTAACATTGAGTAATAAATGGAATTTTAGAGGACAAAATTTTTGAAACTTTAATTGTAAAGGAAAATGTTTTTGCAAACACCATATCAGCAAACGCCATTAATCGTGTTCATTTGCAAAAGTTGAAGGACGAAGTTTTGTATATTGATAAAGAAGAGTATATTGAAAATATATACGCCAGCAACATTACGGGTAAGTGCATGGGAAGCCTTGCTTCTGTGGTGCTCATACGCACTAATTTCAGCGGGCGCTGTAATAATGTCCTTTATAAATGGTGTCGAGTTCACAGGATACCAGCAATATCTAAACGAAATGTATACTACAAGTGTACTAGAAGAAGTAAACATAAATGGCAACTTGAAGGTAGCTGGTATACAAAGTCTTTTAAAGATCAACGATTACGATGTTGCAAGCTGGAAGAAGACAGTAAATTTGCTATAAACGTATCACATTAAGCTAGTAAGTCAAATTTTAGATATTTGAAGTGGATAGGACACGTCCCACTTTTACGCAGAATGTGAAGATTGATGGAGATGTGTTTGCTGAAAATGTTGAAGCGATATTAATCAACGGAATCAATTTTTCAGACCTTGTTCAGGAAGTACTCTATAGAGAGTTTGATCAGAATATTACCGGTTATTGGACGTTTGCTCAGTTAAATACCCGTAAGTATTTAAGGCAGATGGCGTATTTACATTACATCATTTAATGACAGCAAACATTTTCGTCTCGCAAATAAATGAGTTTCCGGTGGACGCTTTGATAGACAGGGACAGTGAACTAAGCCAAAGCCTGTCGGTCTTGGGCGACCTGTACTTTAATCATGCCGTTTTTAAAAAATCGATAAATGCGAAGAAAATGGCGTGCGACGTTAGAGAAATTATCACAAGTATGAAAAATCCATCAACTTTAGACTGGGATACCGTTCACGTTACTAGAAATGTTACTATGTGGGATAAAGATTGCGACCTTAACGTCCTATTGAGTGAGGCGGTTAACTCAAAAACTAGTAACGTTGTTGCATCGCAGGTATGCTGATCTATACCCAAAACTATTGATGCCCATCTGTTTGTAGGTCACATTTGAACATCATCTCTCTGCTAACACCATGTATGTGAGAAAGTTGGTTAACGGAATATACTTGGACGAAATCTTAACTGACGCTGTTCTCAAGGATTTTACAGAGCAGGTCGGTACGGTTTTTTGAAATCATTGTGCAATTGTTTTTTTTTTGTAAACACTTCTGTTTTCAAAGTGTATGTTATGCTTAAACATCTTATCACAACTAACAAGCTTTAATAGCCTTTTAGGGTAGATTGAGACACTGTGTCTATGTGAAAGCAGTTGCAAACCATTTGATTTTTGAATCATTCAATGTTGCTGTGAAGGCTTGAATAGTCCAAAATGAAAAGAAAATATGCCATAATTTATGTACTCAAACAGTCAGTAGATTGTTAATGGATGGTTGACGAAATGGGATCAGAAACACACACTGGGCTTCAGTTTCATGAAATTTAGTATTGGAAATTCGGTTTACTCACTGAAATAATGTACCAATGTTCCGCAATGTGGAAATGTCAATGTTACCTTTATTTATTCAAGGTTTTAAGAATTTGGAAAAGCACTAATTAATCGTCTTCAAACTTTTTCGCCGTTTAAATTAGAATCTGTCGCCCCGTATAAACAAGATAGGCGCACAAATTTGGTTAATAAATTTGTTTTTTATCGATACTATAACCACTTCAAGCATAAACTCAACGTTTCAACAACGCTTTCGTGGTCAAATTGATCTAAACGCGATTACGCGCATCCACTAATGCAATAACAGGAAAATGTTCGTTCGCGTATTAAGAATACAACATTAACATATTCACGATCCCTTCGTTTTATTCGTAATTGAAATTACACAATACATTTTAAATGCACACACGACAATAATTTCGTAATTTCAACTTTCTTAATAAAAATATCACATACTTTTACGCAGTTGTTTTAAATCTCGCGTATCCCTCCCTTATACAAACTCGTCTTTAAAATGTTACGCTCTCTAAAATGCCGCACACGACTTACATAGTTTCGCTTTGAAACTTCGGCTAAGAATCCCTTTCTCCCACCCAATTTTATACTCGCCCATTCGAAAACCCGAAAAGGACCCAACGCAAACAAAACTTCGGCTACCTTTTTTAGGGATATGTAAATCGCTCCGGCTAGCTATCAGTCAATACTCTTCTTTTGGCCTATTAGGAATAAATAATAAGCCAATAATCTTTATTAAGGTAGGAAACGGTTCTGAATTTCTTTAAGGTTAACCTTATCTGCAATAGAATACATTAACGTATTACTGATGACATAACAAAAAGAAAAATCAAAAAACCTCAGGCAAGGTCTAATTTTTCCAAAAAAGCATATAAAACACTTTACCCTCGACTGATAAGGAGAACAACACGTGTTGGATGTGATTAATGATATTCCATGGCAAAAACCTCTTCGAAATAATGAAAAGTATGGGGAAAAAAGTAGTTACGGTTGCTAGGTCTCCTATATTTAATAGGAGTCTTCCATTTTCGAAGTAAATCTCTTATTTCCTAATGCAGTTTAAATATAGGAGAAACTCTGAAATTGACATGAAAAATGTACATGGACAGAAACTTTCGATTGAGGGTGGTGTGTGCCGCTCTAAGGATCGGATAACATAAATAAAACGCAATAAACGAGGAAGAGTGGATTTTAATTAAACATTTTAATAACAAAAACAATCAAATCTATATAGCTCTAGGGACTTCATTAATTACAAGAAAGGGGAAAGATCTATTAAAAACCTACAAAGGTATGTAGTCACTTACTTTCTTACTTCTGTTCCAATTTGCGTTTAACAATTTTACATTATAATAGTTTTCAACCTGTACGACAACATTGGAGAATTTTTATTCGGGAATTTCATCATAATTTTACACCGATATTTAAAATATTGTCACCATTTTGCACGGAAATGAATGGGTTTATTACGACTGTTAAGTAGCACCAAAGAGTATAAGCACCAAGAGCTCACGGTACGCAGACTATGGGTAGAGTCATTGAATAAAACCACGTTTTATTAAATGGTAGAGTTCAGATGCCTGCCATTTTGGCCAGGACTGATAACCTGTCTCATTGTAATGAAGAGTTACATGTTTCGAGATCCATTCCATAACAGTTTTCATATAACCTAAAAATTTAAATATTGAGGAGTCATGAAAAATAATCAACAAACAAATTCAACAAACATATTACGTACAATAACAATAATCGTAACTGAATTTTAAATATCGTACTTGCATGTTGAAGTCACCTTCCTGAAACGTTACATAGCACTGCAACTAGGTACACATAATCTCCTAGGTACCCTAAATTATCTAAACACCCTGTATATTAATCTCAAATGAAAGTCACTCACACCTATGGAAAATTCCACTTGAACTACATACGTATAAAACTATAATAGGCCCAACATTGGATTAACACCTTGTACTAATGTTCAACCTTCCCCTAACACATGATAAATCTAACCCTGAGCAGGATAAAAATTAATTAAGCTAATCTCGCAATTTTTGTATAAACGTAATTGTAGAGACCTTTTCGATTAAACTCCTCCATGAGAGCCTATGTATGTGTCCCTAACCAATTAAACAAGGTTGCCTACCCCTAAATAAGGCTCTTACCTCAACTGTTAATTTATTTCTTTAGGAACCTTGCGCAATGTTTTATAAGGCCTTGCAAATTCAAATTTATAAAGCAAACACCCTAACAAAGTGACAAGCAAGTATTACAAAACAATTACCCAACATCCTATGCTAATTACTCTAATTGCAAACACATACACTCTGCATGCCACAATTATTTTGCTGTCTCAGGTAAAAAACACCTTCTCCTTTTAGCGAGTAAGAAAGCACGATGTGCACTCGCTCGCGAACCTTTTTTCTTTGTGCAATTTGAATTGCTTAACTTCGTGCGAAAATATGTCCAGTGGCATAGCATGGGTTTTTCTCCTTTAATGAAATGCATAAAACCGGAAACGATAAAATTCAAAAACTGTCAAATGTGTTACATCACATGTGTATTTAATACAAATGAATCAAGATCATTTTAATTGACCTTGATTGACTCGGCGAATGAAAGCCAAGATGGCGGAAAAAGTGATCTTTTACTACTATGGTTAATACGTGCATAACTATAAGCAGAATGTGTAAACAGTACCTAGTGTTTAATTTTAAGGATCCTCAGATCCTTTATAGTTTTGTATTATCGTTCGTCCGTCCGTCCGCGTTCGTCCGTGTGTCTGTTTAAAACTGGCCGATTGTGTTTAAATTTGGTGTACGGGTACTTTGGACATTAAGGGCGAACGCTATTGATTTTCAGGAAGCTGGTTCAACAGGAACAAAAGTTATAGGACTTCGAGTAAATCGGGAAAAGGCAAAACTGCGGGCTCAATATAATAGAAGCAACATATTTCATTCCCTAGGTCATGTATCGGGTTCGGACTTTCTATTGCCTATGACTTTTAGATGTGTAAAAATTCAATATAACTCTTCTTTGTGGTATAGGTCAAAAGTTTCAGAGCAAAATGTACCCAAAATTATTCTTTACACATGAATTTGGAGATTCAAACGCATTATCTTGATTTAAAGATGTTAAATTATTTTTCTGAGATCACATGGATTTTGGATCAAAATATGTCAAAATCGTTTTATGCACCAAGATCGTTGGGAAAGAACTAAGATCATAACCTCAAAGCTCAAGACATAAATTTGATACATTTATGGCGAGCACATGGATTTTGATCAAAACATGTCAAAATCGTTATTTATGCACCAAGATCGTTGGGAAAAAGACCAAGAGCATTATCTCAATGACCAAACCATGAATTTGATCTATTTTTGGCGACCACGTGGATTTTGATCAAAATATGTCATCGTTTTATGCGTCAAGATCTTTGGGAAAAAGGCCAAGAGATCTCAATGACCATAATATGAATTTGATTTATTTTTGGCGACCACGTAGATTTTGATCAAAACATGTCAAAATCGTTATTTATGCATCAAGATTGTTGGGAAAAAGACCAAGAGCATTATTTCAATGATGAATTTGATCTATTTTTCCTGATTTTTGGTGACCATATGAATTTTGATCAAAACATGTCAAAGTCAATATTCTTGCACTTAGATCGTTGGCAACAAGATTAAGAGTGTTCTTTTAATGTCCAAGACATGAATTGGATGCATTTTTGTCAGCTATAAAATGTATTTTGTAAGATTAAAATAAATTGTCGTTAAAAGTGATTGTAATACTGAGGATCCTTCAATATTTCATTGTATCGGTTTATTTCTATTGCAGATCATAACGGGTTCTAAAAAATTCCTTACACTGGCGGCATCAGAAGTCACAACTATAAACGCTAATATCCCCATTGTTAATGACGTTAATATAGTGGAATTAAACGCAAATATTATACACAAAGATAATGTGCACGATGTCGTAGTAAAAGGTCCTAAACTCTTTTTTGGAGGTTTACAAGCGTTTCGGCTAATGGTAAGTAATTTTGATAAAAGCAAAATAAAAAGGGGAACTCCTAGACGAGCACCGTGTCAGATATTAATCCACGCGATTTGGTAAATTTAAATAATCTCTCCGTCATCCCCAAGGCTTTCTTCTCGTCGTTGACAGTAGGAAACAATTTCGATTTTGAATATGTGAACAACGTGAATATGACCTATTTCATGTCAGAGAGACTACTGCGAAAGAGCTACGAGCCTCAGTTTGCTGAAGGAACATATTATTTTGACGATATTCTTATATTGGGTGAGTAACATTGTGAAACGATCTCCTTGCAAAATTTATCTGCCGACAGGTGAAAGCAGTATAACGTCAATCAATGGACTGTTGCTCAACGATATTGTATTTGACTCAGGAGCCCAAGTGATCCAGACCAAGAAAACGTTTACAAATACAGTGCGGATTAATGGAGATGCATTCTTCCACTATTTTAATGGCGAAAATCTGTCAGAATTGTACAGAAATTCCCTACTGATTGGAGAAGACAATGTGATTAATGGGTATATTGTAAGTGCACGCTCGCCTCAGATAATGCATTCATTAAATCGTTTTAGAGGTTTAGCAATATTTCTGTATTCGGTAATGCACAAACAGAGCGTATTAATGGCGTTTCTGTAAGTGACATTAAACAATATTTGGCAAGTAGCACACCTACTGTAGACGACGATATAATTCGGAGTACTGTTCTAACGTTGGATCATTTAATTGATATCGGTTTAAATCATTCTGAAGGTTTTTAGATTGGAATCCATAGGAATAGAATGTATGTTTGTTAACTTTTAGACATGGAGGCTCAATACTTATATGTGGAAGTGATCAACGAGTTTCCCATTTCATTTACGAATGTCGCGCAAACGTTTGCCTTCCAAAGTAAGGGTAGTGTATTGCTGCTGGTTACACAACACGAAACTGGAGATTTGTGTGGTTTCAAAAACGTATGTCATTGTCCCAGCCAAAAAGTGTTGCAGATTGCAAATGAAAATTCATTTAATATAATCGGTGAAGGTACAAGGGAACGAGTGTTCAGTTACGAGGGGGATAGTGAGAGTTATCATTTATCCACAAACACTATAAGCAGCAGTGAAACTTGCCTGTTGGTAGCTAACCACTGTTGATTGAAAGTTTAACATTTCTTTTTAGAGCAAAGGGAATTAATGAATCAACGTCCCTTATGTGGATGACTTTTTCGCAGAATGGAGCGTCTGATCACTCGTATTATCCCAAGAATCTAACTGGATATGTTAGTGGCGTTCAGTATTTCAGGCACGATAATGATATGTACGTTGTAATCACTCGATATTATGACCCAACTCTCAAGACCCACAACGTGCCATGTCTTGTAATGAAAGTGGAGAAAGAGAAAGTAAGTTATCGCTGCATATAGGTGATTATTTAACCAGTATTTAGGGGGATGTGGAGGTGGTTCAATCCATCGAAGCGCGTAATGCGCGGGTGTTACATTTGTTTCATACTAATCAAGGCGTTGTCATTATTATTGGGTCTTTTGCCCCCACTGAAAAAGTGGGCGATGGTTTTGGCACAGCAGTGTACAGATTTAGCAAGAAACCGAAGAGGGTAATTGCTACCTTGATAAAGCTCATTCGTCTACATGGATGGTTTTTCAGTTTGATCTGCTTCGCAAAGTTCCTAGTGTGAAATGCATATCGGCTGTGGGAGTAGTGACTGGTCCGGACAGTTTATTTGTCGTGGCCAATGAAGATGCTCCTTTGCAAGTGTACAAATATCATCCAAAGTTTGATAATTACTACTTCTATCAAAGTATATTCACAGAATCGCCGGTTCTTGGACTCAGTACATTTTATGCGGGTAATAAAGGTGATAATGTTCAATTTTATTTTAAATGAATTTTTAGGGGATCCTTGTTTGTGTGCCGTAACAAAAGGTGGCCAATTTTACATTTACACCTTTCAGTATCTGCAAGGATGGGAGGTCTTGTGTAAGGGAGAAATTGATGGGTTGCAGGCGTTGGTTCCTTTTAAGCTTAGTAACACTAACTATTTATTTGCGATAGCTAAAGATACCAGTTTGTTGTTAAATGTTGTCAAACACGGTTTCAATTAACTTGCACCGTCTATTTGTGTAGCTATTAAAGAACACGGTTTATGTTTTAGTTAGAGTTTCATTTCCGTTCTAGTCGAGTCCCTGTTTCTGCACTCTCCTACTCCTAAGAAAATACCATTTCTGCTAGGTAAAACTTTCAATGCAAATGGAAAAATCTATGGTTTCCTCAGTTCTTACTAGTAAACTTGTTGGATGAAGATTTGACACTATTACCTACCCTCGATTATAATTCGTAAATGTTAGGTACTTACAGACAAACTGTGACCGCTTGACAAAGATTACAATTAACCATAATTAATTTCAATAGCGGGATAAATAGACGAATAACAGAAATAGGAAACGCAACGCAACAAACTCGTGAAAAGAATACAATGAGATATGTGGGTCCATCTGAGTGACAGAGTAATCCTTCAGTGACATAGGCCTGCATGGTTAATAAATAGCCTACGATCACCAAATGCAAATATATGTAAATGTGTCCGTCGACCCCCATGTCCATTGACAGTGGACAGTCATACCGACGCCCGTTATCTACCCCCTTCTCGAATGTGTGTACGTATCTAATAAAAGGCGTCATTATTTTACTTTCTACTGAATTCATGCAGGCGGGGTAGTTATATTATAATCACATAATACAATAATGTTATACACGTATTAGATCTGTGTCTTACATTCTAAAAACTAAGTCTGGAACAGAACAGATCCTCACTAAAAGGGAACACAATTTTCAAATAAGTGCAAAGCCAATGCAGATCTCTAGTTTTTGAATCTGGAACGGCTATAAACCTGTATCATTTGCATACGGCTTCCTATTGTGGTTGATAGGTGGCGATGGAATACTACTGCTAGACCTGGATGCAGCAAAATAAGGGGTATATAGACAGCCTCCTTCGCTCCGGAGTGCCTCAGAAAACTTTTGTAGTTAATTTGCCCCAATAAATTTTCCTTATAAAGTTTTGCTCTTCAATTAGTAACTGTTCCTTACAATATCCAAATTCCACTTTCTCTTACATTTTGCATATTTAAACAATTTTTCACGTATACGAGTATTGAAAAATGTAACCTCTACCGTGGCCACGTTTCTTTTCTAACTTACCACTAGTTAAATCTCAATGACAATGATAAATATGTCAATTTTACACAAAAGTAATCACCCTATCGGTAGCAAAACTCACTTATAGGAAACGCCCTTATGTAAACCGACAATCCAAATTCAAAAGGAAGAAAACCGGAAAGCCAGTTCGATTATCATTATTTTAATACGGTACAATTTTTCCCTATTCTATCAATTTAGAAAAATCAAATTCTTTAAAAATTATCCTATTACTTTCAATAAAATTTAATGCAAATTATTAAACTTAGCCGATATCTATTTGTACACAAATCAAAAGGATTACGTTACCTTAATTACAGCGTTTTCTAGAATCGATGGATACAAAGGAAAATGGAACTATAGAACGAAAATTGCTGAACGTTACTATATATATTCGTATGAAAATGATCGGGAAATGAACTTTCTATTTATATCGTCTGCTACCAAACGGTTTTCCGCTTTCGCAAACAAGTTCAATGTTACACGTCGAAACCGAGTTAATTTGTCTCTTTCAACTTTCGCTTTCGAATTATAATTTTGAATTGATTTATGTGCCGATAGTTCTGAATATGAATTTACACGTACACCATTTCTACGAAGACATTTTTTCAAAATTCTTCTTCAACATTAAATATCCCATCTAGTACCCTTTATGCCACATACAAGGTGATTTGGGAGGAAATATTTAACAGACATGCCCAAGAAGCAAAAATAAACAAAATAAGCTCAATGTTCAAGCCCGATTTTCATTTATTTCAGAGATATTTAGAGATAGAGATAGTAAATGATAAAATTAAAGAAAAAAAATTTTCGAAAACTCCATACCGCCCATTTCGATACATTTATTTGGTCGTTTATAAATGGACCTGGTAGCCAGTTTCAGTGAACGTTGATTTGCTCTAATTAACGCCGCAGCATTAAGAATTATCTCTGATACAAATGAAAATCAGATTTGAACATATGAGGTTATTTTTTTTTAATTTTTGTTTTGTGAAATTTTAAACTTTATGAATTTAACAAAAAGTTACAATATTAAAATATTACAAATAAAATTGTTTAAAAAACATTAAAAAAATTTTTTTTTTAATTTAGCGTATAATTAATATATAAAAAATTTCATTAAATGCTGTTTGTTGCGGTAAAGTGCCTAAAATACAAGCCGCATTTCTCTGCTGAACAGCTAAACTAAATCTTTGTTTTAAAAATTCAAAACAAAAAAAAGCTTATTTTGACTTCCTGGACATGCCTTTAAAATTTTTCTATTTCCATTTAATCGAGTGTTTTGTCGGTAGAGGTTATCCGAAGGTACTTTTCTGTATTTTCCCTCTCTTGATTTTTTGAAGGTCTCGCGTGCGCGTTGCTTGTTCATTTAGAGATTGTGTATTCATCGTGGCTACTTGTGAATTTTAATCCGCCATTAGTGTGTCTATTTTGTCATTACCCGAAAGGGCTTTTTGTATTGGCTGTTATAATAATTTCTTTGGAGTTTTTCTCTCTTTCTGATGTTTTGGTAGGCTGCTCCATTGAATACGCTTAGCGGATTTATATTTACATATGTACTCATTGGGATGATGCAGCATTACTTTAACACGTATATAATAATAATAATAATAATAATAATAATTTTTTTATTTTATTTTTTTTTAAGGACCCTACATAACTTCACCAGACACAGACACAGACACTAATCGTTACTTGATTTTAATCCGTGCGATTAGTTAACCAGGCTAGACCTGAGTTCTCACAAGAAACACCGACCATAATAACTAATAAATAACGCAACATACACTACAAAGACAGGTCCACCCAATAAAATTACACGCCCTAGCACAGTTAAAAAACACATAACTCCTTCTTCACAGAAACACACCACATTTTCACAACCCACTCGTATTCAACAGCAACGCAAAAACCTTAACAGAACTACAGGCTCACAACATACTAAAATATCTCCACCAAAAACCCAAGCAACTTCACAAATACAACCTCAAGAACAAAGAAACATCATAAACACAAGTAACGCAACATGTACTACAAAGACAGGTTCATCCAATAAAGTTACACGCCCTAGCACAGTTAAAAAACACAATACTCCTTCTTCTCAGAAACAACCCACTCGTATACAACCGAAACGCAAAAACCTTAACACAGGCTCACAAAATACTAAAATATCTCCAGCAAAAACCCAAGCAACCTCTCAAATACGACCTCAGGAACAAAGAAACACCATAAATACAATTAAAAAACACAAAACTCCTTCTTCACAGAAACACACCACGTTATCACAACCCACTCGTATTCAACCCAAACGCAAAGCCAAAGAAACACTTACACAATAAACTCCATTTAATAAAATTACAGGAATTATTATAATGATTTTTTTTTTGTTTTGTTTTCCTCTTTCCTGATAGCGTTGGCTATTGTGCCCATCAATAGGTATGTTGGTAAGTACGAATTACATACTATCCCTAGATGTCCAATGTACGTGTGTGATTTTTTCTTTTAAGGACCCTACATAACTTCACCAGACAGACACAGACACTAATCGTCACTTGATTTTAATCCGTGCGATTAGTTAACCAGGCTAGACCTGAGTTCTCACAAGAAACACCGACCATAATAATAATAATAACCAAAGACAATACACCACAATTTACAACTATTAGGTTTGGACAAAAACACATACAAACATTTACAAAAAGCAGTCATTATCAACACATGCCATATTGTTCGTAAATTTCTAAACATAACACAAGATACTACATACAGAAATGATCCACAACGTATACATGTAAACAACAGCACTCCCTCACAACACGGTACACAACATACTGTAATATCTCCACCTCTAACCCAAACAAACACACAAATACAACTTACCGAACAAACAAGTACAACAAATGATATACAACATATACTACATTCAGAGATTCACCTCTGAAGCAAACCACATTATCACGACCCATTAGTATTCAACCCAAACGCAAAAGCCTAAACAGCACTTTAGACTCACAACATGACACACAACATACTGTAATATCTCCACCCTTAACTCAACCCACCACACAAACACAACTTCCTGAACAAACAAACGCAATAAATACAAGTAACGCAACATGCACTACAAAGACGCCCTCACCCAATAAAGTTACACGGCCTAGCACAGCTAAAAAACACAATACTCTTTCTTCTCAGAAACACACCACGTTATCACAACCCGAACGCAGCAACCTTAACAGCACTTGAGGCTCACAAAATACCGTAATGTCTCCACCAATAATCCAAGCAACAACACAAATACAACCTCTAGAACAAAGAAACACCATAAATACAAGTAACGCAATTTGCACTACAAAGACAGGTCCACCCAATAAAGTTACACGTCCTAGAACAGTTAAAAAACACAAAACTCCTTCTTCACAGAAACACACCACATTATCACAACCCACTCGTATTCAACCGAAACGCGAAAACCTTAACAGAACTACATGCTCACAACATACTGTAATACCTCCACCAAAAACCCAAGCAACCACACAAATACAGCCTCAAGAACAAAGAAATACCATAAATACAAGTAACGCAACATCCACTACAAAGACAGGTCCACCCAATAAAGTTACACGTCCTAGCACAGTTAAAAAACACAAAACTCCTTCTTCACATAAACACACCACGTTATCACAACCCACTCGTATACAACCCAAACGCAAAGCCAAAGAAACACTTACACAATAAACTCTATTTAATAAAATTACATAGGAATTATTATAATGATATTTTTGTTTTGTTTTCTTTTTTCCTGATAGCGTTGACTATTGTGGCCATTAATAGCTATGTTGGTAAGTATGAATTACATACTATCCCTAGATTTCCAATGTGAGTGTGTGAATATTTATTTTATTTTTATTTTTATTTTTCTTTAGAACCCTACATAAATTCACCAGACACAGACA